TGGGGTGCACTTTTTGGGGGGGGTCACTTTAGGGCTGCACTGCCGGGTCTGTGTGTTCATTTTGGGGTGCCCTTTTAGGGGTCACTTTGGGGTTCCCTGCAGGGGTGTGTGCTCATTTGGGGTTCATTGGGGGTTCATTTGGGATTCACGTTCAGGGGTGTCCCCGCCATGCGGGTGTTTCTCGTTCCCCCCCCGCAGCACGCAGCCGCGCCGCACTCCCACATAGCGGCTCGTTGGTCTAGGGGTATGATTCTCGCTTAGGGTGCGAGAGGTCCCGGGTTCAAATCCCGGACGAGCCCACATCTTTTTCTTCTCCTTCTCCCCCCTCCGCCCCCCTTCATGCACCCCACTTCCTGTCCCTCCCTCGCCGTGGGGCCTCAGTGGGGCAGGAAGCATGAGCACAAGCCTCTTAGCGGGGGGATTAAGGGCGTTTGGGCTCCCCCCCCCACCCCGCTCCCCCCGGGCTTGGGGGTTCATATAAAGGCTGGTGCAGAGAAGTGGGGTGGTGGTTGTGCTGCACCGTACCAAACCATACTGTATTATGCTGTACTGGGCTGTACTGGAGTCTACTGGGATGTACCACGCTGTACTGGAGTGTACTGGACTGTACCATACTGGACCAGGCTATACTGGACCATACTGTGTCATACTGGGCTGTACTGGGTCAGTGCTGGTTGTACTGTACCAAACCATGCTGTGCTGGGTTGTACTGGGCTGTACCATACTGTACTGGTCTGACTGGGCTGGACTGGGTCATAGCGGGCTGTACTGGGTCAGGTCTGGTTGTATTGTACTGTACCAAACCATACTGTACAGAGCTGTACTAGAGAATACCAGGCTTTACTGGGCTTTACTGGGACATACTGGGCTGTCCCAGGCTGTACTGGTCTGTACTGGTCTGTACTGGGTCAGGTCTGGTTGTACTGTACCAAAACACACTGTACTGGGCTGTACTTGGTTATACAGGACTGGACTGCACCGGGTTGTACCATATTGCGTTGGGTTGGACTGGGCTATACTAGGTTGGAGTGGGTCATACGGGTTGTACTGGGTCATATAGGGCTGTAATGAGTCATACTGGGCTGTACTGGGCTGTACTGGGTCAGTCCCCCATGACTTAGGAACACCCGGTCTGCGGGCGGGGGGGTGGGCATGGAGCTCAAAGAGTCCCCGTCCATGGGCAGTAAGTGCTGCAGTGGGACCCCCACCCAGGGAGGGCACCCCCAAATGGGTACCCCCTAAAACGGACACCCATGGGAGCGGGCACCCTCCACAATGGGCATCCTAAGCAGGAGCACCCAATAAGGATGAGCACCTCAATGATGGGCACCCCAAAGAAGGGCACCCATAGGTATTGGCAGCCTCAGGGTAAAGGTCACCCCAGGACTGGTCTCCCCAAGGCTGGTCACCCTAAACAGGGAAACCCATAAGGAGGGGCACCCCAAAGAGAGGTACTCCCAGGTACTGGCACCCCCAGGGTGAGGGACATCCCATAAGGATGAGCATCAATACTTGGGACAACCATAAGGAAGGCTACAGCATAAGAAGTGGAACACCAAAGAAGGGCACCCATAGGTATTGACACCCCTAGGCCTGGCACCCCAAAGATGGGCACCCATTGGTACCAGCACCTCAGGGATGAGCACCCTAAAGTGGGGCACCCATTACTATTGGCACCCCATAAGGACGGCACATCAACAATGGTCACCTCATTGCTGGTCACCCAAGGGGTGGTCACCCCAAGGAGGGACACCCCAAAGAGGGTCACCCATAATATTGGCATCCTTTATGGATAGACATCTCAATGATGGGCACCCCAAAGAGGGGTACCCATAGGTATTGGCAACCTCAGGGTAAAAGTCACCCCAGGACTGGTCTCCCCAAGGCTGGTCACCCTAAACAGGGGCACCCACAGGGCTGGTGATGGTGACCCTGTTGGTGATGCTGTGCGCAGCGGACCTGCAGGTGCTGCGGGTACCCCACAGGGCTGGTCCCCCCCGAGGATGTCCCCGTGGGTGGGTGCTGGTCCCCATGTCCATCCCCTGTTGATGACGCTGTTCCCAGTGGGACTGTAGGCGCTGTGGGCACCCCAGGGTTGGTCACCCAAAGGAGGGGCACCCATAGGCTGGTATCAGTGCTGGTGCCAGTGCCAGGGACACTGAGTTCAGCAGGTCTATGGGTGCTGCAGGTACCCGAGGTGGGTGCCATGCAGAGCTATGCGGTGTCAGTAGCAGTGCTCCCAGAGAGCCTGCAGGCACTGTGGGACGGGATCTCAGCCCCGCGCGAGGAGCAATGGGGGGCACTGTGGGGTGTGAAGGTTGCCATAGCGGGATGGATGGTGGGCATGGCGTGGTGGGATGGTGGCCATGGTGAGAACGTGGTCATTGAGCAACGGGATGGTGAACGTGGGGCAGTGGGATGGGTGGTGGGCATGGTGTGGTGAGCGGTAGCTGTGGTGGGATGGTGCTCATGGGGTGGTGGGCATGGCACGGGGCAGTGGTGGACATGGGGTGGTGGGGTGGTGGACATTGTGGTACAGGGGGTGTTTGCCATGGCGGGGCTGATGCCATGGGGTGGGTGCCATGGGGCTGCTGTAGGGCTGAGGTGGGTGCTGTGGGGCTGAGGTGGGTGCTGTGGGGCTGAGGTGGGTGCTGTGGGGCTGAGGTGGGTGCTGTGGGGCTGAGGTGTGTGCTGTGGGGCTGAGGTGTGCCTCATGGGCCGTGCAGAGGAGCTGGTGCTGCCGCCGGTGCCGCAGGAACCTGGAGAAGGAGCCCTGTGCGCTGCAGCTCTGCCCCAGCACCCTGCCCAGGGGAGGGCAGCTTCAGCACTGCCACCACGTCTGCTGCCACCGGTACCACCCACAGCACCCATCGAACTCACTGGACCCACAGACCCCATGGGACCCCCCAGGACCTACATGGCCCCATGGTTGTTCCCTCCTGGGTATGGCCCCATTCACATCCCCACTGCCCTCAGGCCATGTCCCACCAGCCCATGTTCCCCCGCCCCCGTCCCCATGACCGTGTCCCAATGGCTCCTGTTCCCATGGCCATGTCCCCTTTGTCCCCTTGTCCATATCCCCTATGCCCCCTGGCAATGTCCCCCCTGTACCCATGGCCAGGTACCCCTTGTCCCTGTAATTGCCCCCATGGCCATGTCCCCATTGTCCCCAGTGTCCCCTTGTCCATGTCCCCAGTACTCCCCAGTCATTTCCCTCTGCCCCATGGCCATGTCCCCATTGTCCCCTGGCCATGTCCCAGTGCCCCAGTCCTGCTGGTGTCCCCATGTCCCCACATGCCTGCATCTGTCCCCCACCTCCTGCCCCCTGCAGGTGCCCCAGGGGCCAGAACCCCTTCAGCGTCTCCCCCTGCTTCGATGACTCCATCGACTTCGCTGACCCCAACCACGAGGGGACCCTGGGCCAGGTACGGGGGGTGGGGGGGGGGGGCACACAGGGGTTTGGGGGAGCCACCGTGTGTGGTATCATGGACCCTGTCCCTGTCCCTCCCCAAGACAGCACCATCAGCCTCAAGCCCCCCACCCTCTTCATCATGGCCTCCACCATCATCTTCCTCTTCCTGAAGCATTGGAGCAACTGGCCACCTCCCATCCCACTGCCCCCCAGTGGAGCACCCTGAACCCTATACACCGTTCCCTGTCCTTGGGATGGGGGTGTCACCCATGAGTGCACCCCAATGTGTCTGTGTGTGTGTGTGTGACCCCCCCCAGCCAGGACTTGTCCCCCCCCTCCCCGGGTATTTTGGGTGCCGGGTGCGTGGCTGTGACTCCATGGGTTATTTATAGGTGCTGGCGCAGGCGCCAGGGACCGTGCCCCCTCCCAGCCACCCCCTGCTTTGTCACCCCCTTTGTCACCCTCTTTGTCACCCCCCATCACTGCAGGGTGCCCCCCCCCAGGGAAACTGAGTCACAAAGTGGGGGGGTGCCATGGGGAGGACCCCAACTCCTGAACCCCCCCCCCCCCATCACCACCCATGGGTGCTCCCCCTGCACCCACTGGAAGCTTCCAGGGCTGGTGACACACCGGAACTGGGGGGAAGCTGATATCATCCCCCCCCCAGATCACCCCCCATGAAGGACCCGGATGTGGAGCACTGGGCACTCACCCAAGTGTGTCCCCCTTAAACAAGCACCAAAGGGGGGGGCACCAAGATGTTGGGGGGCACTGGGGGAGCCCAGCAGGCTTTAGGGGGTCCAGAGTGAGTGAGTTTCCTGGGGGGAGGTTTGGAGTGTGAATGGTGCTGGGGTGCATTGGGGTGCTCATGGTATTGGGGTGCTGGGTGGCAGATAAGGGGGTGCTCAAGGGGCCCCGGGGTATTGGGTGCCAGGTATTGGGGTGCCCTGGTGCCAGAGGTGTCAGGGTGCTGGGGTATTGGGGTGCTGGGTGCCATGTATTGGGGTGCTCAGGGTGCCAGGTATTGGGGTGCCCTGGTGCCTAATAGCTAGGGTAATAGGATATTGGGGTGCCAGGTATCGGGGTGCTGGTTATTGGGGTTCCTTGGGTGCTGGGGTGTTGGGGCACCCAGAGTGGTACCCGTGTATCAGGGTGCTGGGTTTTGGGGTGTCAGGCTACGGGTAGATCGGGATAATGGGGTGTTGGGGTGTCTGGGCTATTGCGGTGCTGGAGTTTGGGGTGTTGGTGTTTCAGGGCACGGGGGTTTCGGGGTACGGGGGTGCCAAAGTTTGGGGTTACCGGTGTTTCAGCTTGACAGATTTTGGAGGAGCTGGTGTTTGGGGTGTTGGCGTTTGGGGGTGCCGGTGTCTGTGGGTGCCGGTGTCTGGGGGTGTCGGTGTTTGGGGGTGCCGGTGTCTGGGGTTTGGGGGTACCGGTGCCGGTTGGTGCTGGTTTGAGGGTGCGGGCCCAGGGGGGTGCGGCAGGGCTATAAATAGCGGGTGCGGTCACTCCCGCCCCCCCGGGCCGGCCCATGCGGGGCGGGCCGGGGCAGCGCTTAAAGCCGCCGCCCCCCGGGACACACCGGACACACGGACCCTGCTCCGACCGGGAACGCACCGGGAACCGACCGGACCTCGCTCTTGCTGCGGCCGGGATCCCACTGAGCCCCGCTCCGGCTGCGAACCGACCGCGAACAGAGCGGGATCAGACCGGACCCTGCTCCCACTGGGAACCAGCTCCGCTACCGGGAACTCGCGCCGGGATTGCCCCAGGACAACCGCCCCCGGCACCGGGACTGAGCCGGGAACCGGGACCCGCCCGTGACACCCCCCCCCCCAACCGGGACACCGGGATCGAGCCGGGACCCTCCCAGTCGGGATATCGGGATTGAGACGGGACCTTCATCGGGACGCCGGGATTGAGGAGGGAGCCCCCCAGCTGGGATACTGGGACTGGCCCAGGACTCCTTCAGGACACCGGGGGTGATCCGGGACCCCTCTCCCGGCACTGGGACTGACTTGGGACCCCCCACAGGACACCGATACAGATCCAGGGCCCTCATCCAGGATACTGGCACTGATCCGGGACCTCCACCTGGGACACCGGCACTGATTTGGGACCCCCCCCCCCCCCCAAGGACACGGGTACTGACCCACGACCCTGATACTGATCCGGGATCCCTCCTTCGGCTTCTCATCCGGGACCCTCATTTGGGCCACCAACTTGGAACCGCCACCCAGGACACTGACCCCCAACCCGGGACCCCAGTACTGATCCAGGACCCCTATTTGGGCCTCACACACAGGACACCGAAACCAACCCAGGACCCCCCACAGGACACAGGTACTAACCCAGGGCCCCATTTGGTCCTCCCCGCAGACATTGATCCTCTCCTAGGACCCCCATAAGGACCCCGATACCCACCCAATCCCCCCATAAGGATCCCAATACCCACCCAGGATCTCTATAAGGATCTTGATACCCACCCAGGGCCCCCATAAAGACCCTGATACCCATAAGGGTCCCCATAAGGACCCTCATACCCACCCAGTACCCCGCTAAGGACACTGATACCAACCCAAAACTACTATAAGGACCCCGATACACAGCCAGGACCTCCATAAGGACCCCAATATCAACCTAGAACCATCACCCAGGACCTTGTTACCCATACAGGACCCCCATCACCCACCCAGGACCCTCTCCTGGGACACTGACCCTCCCTCAGCACCCCCATAAGGACCCCAACACCCAACCCAAGCCTCCCCCATTTGGGCCTCAGCACCACCCCATCACCCCCAGGCCCCCCATCGCCAGCAGCATGAACTCCACACTGGAGGCTCAGCCGGGCGAGGAGCCCGAGGAGCTGCCGGCCACCGAGAAGGACCTGGCGGAGGATGCGCCGTGGAAGAAGATCCAGCAGAACACGTTCACGCGCTGGTGCAACGAGCACCTCAAGTGCGTGCACAAGCGCATCGGGGACCTGCAGCGGGACCTGAGCGACGGGCTGCGCCTCATCGCGCTGCTCGAGGTGCTCAGCCAGAAGAAGATGGGCCGCAAGTACCACCCGCGCCCCAACTTCCGACAGATGAAGCTGGAGAACGTCTCCGTGGCCCTCGAGTTCCTGGAGCGGGAGCACATCAAGCTGGTGTCCATCGGTGAGCGTGCGACGGGGGTGAGATGGGGATGGGAGAGAGGGTTTGGATGGAGTGAGGGTGAGTGTGAAAGGGGGGTGATGATAGAAAGGTGAGTGAGCACGGGTTGGGGTGATGGATAAGAGGGAGTGAAGGGTGAGCGTGTGAGGGTGATGGGGTGGAATGAGGGATGAGTGTGCAAGGGAAGGGGTGATTTGGGAGTGAAGGGTGGGTGTGTGAGGGAAGGGATAACGGATAAGAGGGAGTAAAGGGTGAGTGCGAAAGGGGTGATAGAAGGGTAAGGGTGAGAGTGAAGGGTTGGGGTGATGGACAAGAGTGAGCGTGCAAGGGGGGGTGATGGTGAGTGGGAGTGAAGGGGGAGTGTGTGAGGGTTGGGGTGATGTGGGAGTGAGTGTGCGAGTATAAGGGTGATGAAAGAGTGGGAGTAAGGGGTGAGGGTGAGTGTGCAAGGCCAGGGCTGATGGACAAGTGGGAATGACGGGTGAGTGTGTGAAGGTGATGGGGTGGAGTGAGGGATAAGTGTGCAAGGGAAGGGGTGGTTGTGTAAGGGTAGAGGAGATGGTGTTGGCAGAGGAGTGAGAGTGTGGGGTGAGTGTGCAAGCGTTGGGGTGGTGTGGGAATGAAGGGTGAGTGTGCAAAGGCAGAGGTGATAGAAGGGTGAGTGTGAGTGTGGTGGGGTGAAATGAGGGGTGAGCGCGCAGGGGTAGAAGTGATGGAGGGGTTAAGAGGGGTGAGTGTACAAAGGTGAGGGGTTTGGGGTGGAGTGAGTGTGCAAGGGTAGGGGTGGCAGAAGGGTGAGTGTGCAAGGGTGGGAGTGATGGCCGAGAGGCAGTGAGGGGTGAGTGTGTGCGGGTGATGGGGTGAAATGAAGGGTGAGTGTGCGAGGCCAGGGGTGATGCTGAGCGTGCAAGAGCAAAGAGCAAGCACAAACGGAGCCGGGGGTGAGTGTGCAAAGGGGCCACGCAAGGGGCGGCCGCGCTGAGCTCGGGGCCTGCGCTGGTGGGTTCACCCCTTGCACGCTCACCTCGTGTGCAGGGCCCTTGCACGCCCGTTTGCACCCTCACCTCCCACCCACCTGCTCATGGGGGGTGACGATTTCACACCCCCCCCCCTTGCACACTCACTCGTGCCCCCCCTTGCACACTCCCCCCTCCCCCCCCCCTCGTGCCCAGATGTTGGGGGGGGCCGCATCTGCAGCGGGTTCGTGCCCGAAACACGATCGCTGATGGGGGGGGGCTGGGGGGAGGGGCTGTGGAGGAGGGGGAGGGGCCGGTACGCGGGGTCCGCGCGCAGGGCTGGAGGGGGGGAGGGGCGGAATGCCTGGGGCTCCCCTCCCCCACCCTCTGTTCACCCCCCCCCCCCAATGCCTCAGTTTCCCCATCCAGGGACCCCTCGCAAGGGTCAGGGGTCCCCAGGGTGCTGCGGGGGCACCGCAGGGAGACCCCCAATGTGCCTTGTGGGGGGACCCCCGAGCCTATGGGAGGTCATGGGACCCCCATAGTGGTATGGGGGGGAACCCTAAGGTGCTGGGGGAGGGGCCAAGGGGCCCCCACGGTGCTTTGATGGCGATCCCCATGGTGCTGGGGGGTTTAGAGCTCCCCCAAGCTGTTGTGACGGTGCTTTGTGGGGGGACCCCCATGGTGCTGTCAGGGTGTGACCCCCCCCCCCGTCACCCCCCCCCCCCCCAGCACTGTCTGGTGGGATTTTGGGGGTCTGGGGGTCGGGGTGCTGTGGGGTGCTCTGCTGAGACAGGGGAGCAGTGGGGGGGGTATTGGGGTGTCCCCCTCTTGGTATTGGGGTGGCAGGCACCCCTGCCCGTGTTCTAGGGGTGTCTCCAAGGTGGCAGGGGCCCCCATACTTGCCTTGGGGGTTTTGGGGTGTCCGCAGCCTCATACGAGGGTGACAGGGACCCTTTCCCATGTTCTGGGCTGCCCCAGGGTGGTGGGACCCCATATTCTTGTCGCAGGGTTTTTTGATGTCCCCATCATGGTTTTGGGGTGTCCCAGGGTCACAGGAACCCCTCATCCTTGTCCCATGGTGTTGGGGTATCCTCATAGTGTCAGGGCCCCTGTCCCATGGTTTTAGGGTGTCCCAAAGGGTTCAGGGTCCCTTTCCCCAGGGATTTTGGGTGTTCCCATAGTTTTGGGGTGTCCCCATGGTGCCAGGTACCTTCCCCATGGTTTGGAGTGCCCCGATGACGGTGGTGTGGTGTCAGGTCCCTACCCTATGCTTTCGGGGTGTCCCCGTGCTGACGATGGTCTGTCAGCCCCTGCCCTATGGTTTCGGGGTGCCCCCATGGTGTCAGGTCCCTGCTCCATGGACTCAGGGTGTCCCCATGGTTTTGGGGTGCCCCCCTCCTCCCGCTGCAATGGGGTAACCGTACCCCCCTGCCCTGCTGTCTTGGGGTGTTCCCACGGTGTGGGGCGCCCCGATGCCGGCGATGGGGGTGTCCGGTGGGTGACGGCTCCCCCGCCCTACAGACAGCAAAGCGATCGTGGACGGGAACCTGAAGCTGATCCTGGGGCTGGTGTGGACGCTGATCCTGCACTACTCCATCTCCATGCCCATGTGGGAGGACGAGGAGGAGGAGGAGGCGCGGCGGCAGACGCCGAAGCAGCGGCTGCTGGGCTGGATCCAGCACAAGGTCCCGCAGTTGCCCATCACCAACTTCCACCGGGACTGGCAGGACGGGAAGGCGCTGGGAGCGCTGGTGGACAACTGCGCGCCCGGTCAGCGGCCACGGGGGCATGGGGGGCTATGGGGGGCAGGTGGGGCTGGGGAGGGTCTTAGAGGGGTGGCAGAGGGGGCTTAGGAGGGTCTTGGGGTGGGTAGAGGAGTCTTAGATGAGGGGTGCTTAGAAGGATCTTTGTGGGCGTCTTAGATGTGTCTTGGGGTGTATCGGGGGCTCAGAGGCGTCTTGGGGGGGTTTAGAGGGGTCTTTGGGGGTATTAGGTGGGTCTGATTGGGGGCAGATGGGGCTTGGGGGGTGGCTGGGGTGTGTAAAGGGGTCTTGGGGAGCACCTTAGGGGTGAGGAGGACACTGGAGAGCTCTGGGGGTGTCCCTGTGGTGCTGACCCCCCCCTTTTCGCAGGCCTGTGCCCAGACTGGGAGAGCTGGGACCCGAACCAGCCGGTGCAGAACGCGCGCGAGGCCATGCAGCAGGCGGACGATTGGCTCGGGGTGCCCCAGGTGCGGGGGGTACTGGGGGCACTGGTGTCCCCATGGCATGGGGCAGGGGGTGCTGGGGAGTCCCATCATGGGGAACTGGGGGGTCCCCGGGGGTGTCTCTGGGTGTTGGGGTCCCCAATCATTGGGGTTCCATGGGGGGATCTATGGGCATGGAGGGTCCCTGTGAGTACAGGAGGGTCCTCAGGTTGTCCCTGGGTATGGGGGGGTGCCCGTGGGCTTAGGGGGGCCCTGGGGGGTGCAGAGTGGTCCCTTGGGGTGCCCCATGACACAAACCACCCCTGGGTGGGTGCTGCTGGGGAGGGTGGTGCAGGGGGTCCCCATAGAGGTCGCTGTGTGCCCCAGGCGCTCTGACGGGTGCTGTTGGGTGCCCCCAGGTGATCGCCCCCGAGGAGATCGTGGACCCCAACGTGGACGAGCACTCGGTCATGACCTACCTGTCCCAGTTCCCCAAGGCCAAGCTCAAGCCCGGGGCGCCCCTCAGGCCACGGCAGCCCCAGCCCGCTCGTGCCCGTGCATATGGGCCCGGTATGGGAATGGGGACATGGGGGGCACTGGGTGGGACATTGGGAACACACATACACATAGGGACACAAGGGAATCCGGGGGGAAAACATGGGGAGAGGGGGGACACTGGTGGGGACATAGGGACACGGGGGGAAACAAGGGGATACAGGGGGACATGAAGAGGGGGTGTGGGGTGATGTGGGATGGGGAACTCCAAGAACAGGGACCTTTTCCTTGACACCCAAGGTATCACCCAAGCCGGGGGCACCCCAGGGTCCCCCATGGTGCCACCCACACTCAAGGACACCCCTAAGTGTCACCTATACCCAAGGGTACCCAAGGGACAACCCTTGGGTCTCCCCAGGGTCCTACGTGCCCATTGACACCCCAGGATCACACAAGGTGCCACCTATGCCCGGGGTCCCCACCATGACCAGGGATACCCCAAGGTGCCATCTATACCCATGGATACCCAAGGGGTACCCCAGGCCCCCCCCCCCAATGAGCAGGAGCACCCCAGGGTCCTCCAATGACACTCTTGCACCCCTTAGGGTGCCACCCACATGTGGGGACACCCCAGGGTCCCCCAAAATGCCACCCATACCCTGGGACACCCTTAGACCGCCCCAGGGTCCCCCCCATGTGCAGGGACACCCCAAAGAACTCTAAGGTCCTGTCTATGCCCAGTGACATCCCAAAGTACCATCCATACCCAGAGACCCCCCCTGTTTGGTAACCAGGGTCCCCCCCATACCCAGTGACCCCCTTGGATCCCCAGGCTGCCCCGGTCCCTCTGCCCCCCCTACACCACCCCAATCCATTGATGTCCATGGGTGCCCCTGGTGCTGGCACCCACCCTGGGTCCCTGTGGGCCCCCCCTGACTCCCCCCTGGCGCCGTAGGCATCGAGCCGCAGGGGAACGTGGTGCTGCAGCCGGCGCACTTCACGGTGGAGACCCTGGACGCTGGTGTCGGTGAGGTCCTGGTCTACGTGGAGGACCCTGAAGGCCACACCGAGGAGGTAAGGGGTACCCCTGGGGTGCCCCCCCCTTCCCCCCCCACTGGGTACCCAGGTCTCATCACCCCTGTTCTGCGATCCCCCCCTTGCCCAGGCCAAGGTGGTGCCCAACAACGACAAGAAGAGGACGTACAGCGTCACGTATGTGCCCAAGGTGGCTGGGATGCACAAGGTGAGGGGCACCCATGGGTGCTGGGGGTCTATGGGCGGGGGGCATATGGACCTAGTTAGGATCTCTCTTGTGTATTGCACTGGTTCCTTTGGGGTCACACTAAGGTCTATTGGGGGTTGCGGGGGTTGCGGGGGGGGGGGGCATTGCAATAGGGAGACCTTGGGGAGACCACTAGAGGGTTCCATTAGGGTCCATTGGGGGGTTTTGGGGGGTCTCTGGGTGGGTGGCATAAGGACCCTATTAGGGATCCCCTTGGGTATTGCACTGGGGATTCCCCTGGGGTCCCATTAGGGTCTCTGGGTGTCCACTGGGGGCCTTCGGGGGGATCCTTGGGGAGACATTGCAATAGGAGAACCTTGGGGAGACCGTTGGGGGACCCATTAGGGTCCATTGAAGGGTCTTTGGGGGTTGCTGGGGGAGGGCATTGCAATAGGGGAACCTTTAGAGTCCCATTAAGGTCCAGTGGAGGGCCTTTGGGGGTCTCTGGGGGGGGATATTGCAATAGGGGAACCCTGAGGGGACTTTTGCGGCTCCCTGAGGGCCATACTGAAGGGTCCTGGGTGGTTTCATGGGGGTCCATGAGGGGACAATGCAATAGGGGTGTCCCTTGGGGTTCCCATTAGTGTCCATGAAGGCACCTTTGGGTGTCAGTGCTGGGGCCACCCCTCAGCACATGGAACCGGGGTTCCCATTGTGTCCCCCCATGGTGCCAGTCGAGGGCACCCTGACCTCCGTGCCTCCCCACTGCAGGTGACGGTGCTGTTCGCGGGGCAGAACATCGACAGGAGCCCCTTTGGGGTCTCCGTGGCCATGGCGTTGGGCGACGCGGGCAAGGTGACGGCACGCGGCCCCGGCCTGGAGCCCACCGGCAACGTGGCCAACAAACCCACCTACTTCGACATCTACACCGCGGGTGGGTGCTGAGCTTGGGCCTCCTGGCGCTGTGGGCATGGCGGGGCTGGTGGCATCGAGCCCGTGTCCTCCTGGTGCCATGGACGTGGTGGTGCTGGGTGGCACCGAAGCCGTGTCCCCATGGTGCCGTGGCCATGGGATGGCTGATGGCTCTGTTTCTCACGGTGGCATGGCCGTGGTGTAGCCTGGTGTCTGTGGGGCCACATCTTCATGGTGCCATGGGGACATGTCCTCATGATGCCATGGCCATGGCATGACCTGGTGGCTGGAGGGACGTGTCCTCTTGGTGGTGCTGGGTGCCACTAAGGCCATGGCCATGTGGTGGCCCAGCCCATGGCATGGTGGCTTGGGTGCCCTCTTCCCTCGGTGGTGTGGCCATGGCACGGCTTAGTGGCACTTGGGACTATGCCTTTGTGATGGTGTGGCCATGGAGGTGCTGGGTGGCACTAAGGCCATGTCCTTGTGACGACATGGCTGTGGCATAGCCTGGTGGTTCTGGTGCTGTATCCTCGTGGTGGCATGAGAAATGGTGTGGATTAGTGGCACTTGAGACTACGTCCTCAGGGTGCCATGGACATGGCATGGCCTGGTGGCACTGAGGCCATGTCTTCATGATAACATGGTCATGGAAGGCTTAGTGGCTCCCGGACCATGTCCTCATGGTGACACTTGGGACCATGTCCTCATGGTGACACTTGGGACCATGTCCTTGTGGTGCCATGGCCACTGCATGTCCCCGTGGCTCTGAGCCCATGCTCTCCCGGTGGCACTGGTGCCGTGGCAATGTCTGAGCGTGTCCCTGCGGCGCAGGTGCTGGCCCAGGGGATGTCGGGGTGGTGATCGTGGACCCCCAGGGCCGGCGGGACACGGTGGAGGTGATGCTGGAGGACAAGGGGGACAACATCTTCCGCTGCACGTACCGGCCCGTGCTGGAGGGCACTCACACCGTCTGCGTCACCTTCGCCGGCTCCAACATCCCCAAGAGCCCCTTCAGCGTCCACGTGGCTGAAGGTGAGACCTGGCCCAGGGTCCCCATCGTCTCACCACGTGTCCCCATGGGTCCAGGCTGTCCCCAAGGTGCCCTTATGCCTTTGGGGACCCTATAGCATCTTCATGTCCCCAGGGCGTCCCCATGGGTCCCTTGTGCCCTAGGGTGTCCCCATGGCACCCTTAAGTACTTGGGGACCTCATAGCACCTTTATGTCCACAGAGTGCCCCATGGCACCCACTGGTTCCCATGGTGTCCCCTGGGAATCCCTATAGCATCTTTATGTCCCTATGGTGTCCCCATGGGTCTCATGCTGCTGAAGATCCCATGGCACCTTCTTGTCCTTAGGGTGTCCCTGTGGGTCTCTAAAGCCCCAGGGTGTCCCCATGAATCCCTAAAGCAGCTAGAGACCCCATAGCACCCTTCTATCCCTAGGGTGTCCCTATGGGTCCCTTATGCCCTAAGATGGCCCCAGGGCACCCCGTTGTCCTCAGGTTGTCCTCATGGTTCCAAGGTGGCCCTGGGTGTCCCTGTGGGTCCCTTATCCCCACACCCCTGTCCCCGGGTATCACCCCTCTGTGCCCAGGCTGTTCCCATGGGATCTGTTTGTGCACAGGGTGTCACCGGGGTGTCCCTAACAGCACCCTTATGGCTCAGGGTGTCCCCATGGATCTCGTATGTCCCTAGAGTGTCCCCCATGCTCCTACCCCGGTGTCGCATAGCCCTTCCCAGGCTCCCAGGTGGTGTGGGTGCTGAGGGTGCCATGTCATCCCGTGTCATTCCATGTCACTCCATGCCATCCCCTATCATTCTGTGCCATGTCATGCTATGTCATTCCACGTCATTCGGTGCCATGTTATCCCACGTCATCGTGCATCATGCTGCATCATTTGGTGCCACGTCACTCCGCATCACCCCCCATTGTTCTGTGCTATTCCATGTCATTCCATGTTGTTCCATGTCTCCTGCGCCCCCGCAGCGTGCACCCCATCCGCGTGCCGCGCCACGGGCCGGGGGCTGCAGCCCAAGGGGGTTCGGGTGCAGGAAGTGGCCGATTTCAAGGTGCACACCAAGGGTGCCGGCACCGGGGACCTGCGCGTGGTCGTCAAGGGGCCCAGTGAGTGATGGGGGGCACCCATGGCGGGGGACACATGGGGGTGTTCATGGTTGGGTGGTACCCATGGTTAATGGCTGGGGGCAACAGAGGTGCCCACGGGTGGTGGGTGCATGGCTGAGGTGCTTTGGAGGTGCCTGTGGGGTGGGTGCACGGTTGGGGGTCCATGACTGGTGGAGGCATCCATAGTTCATGGCTGTGGGCAATATGGGTGCCCATGGGATGGATGCACATGGTTGGGGGGTGTCTTGGGGGTGCCCCTAGTTGGGGTATCCCATGGGTGGTTCATGATAGGGGGGTTTTTGAGAGGGGCCATGGCTGTGGGGCTATAGGGGTCCCGCAGGTGGGTTCATGGTTGGTGGGGTCCATAGGGGTGTCCAGATTTGGGGTTGGGGTGTCCATCACTGGGAAGTCCCAATGGAGGGATATACGTGGTTTGGGACCAGTATTGGGGTGCCCATGGTTGGGAATCGCCATGGAGGTGCCCATGGGTGGGATGGGTGCATATTTGGGAGTGCCCATAGTGGGGTGCACGGCTGGGAGGGCTCATAGGGGTGCCCAGGGTGGGGTCCATCACTGTGGGGTCCTCATGCACGCGGTGGTTGGTGGACACCTCAGTGGGTGCCCATCAGGGCTGTGTAATTGGATCCCCCATGTGGGCCCCCTGTGGGGTGCCCCATGGGGGTGCCCCCACTGACTCCCGTTCCCCCGCAGAGGGCACGGAGGAGCCGGTGACGGTGCGGGACGTGGGTGACGGCGTCTACGAGTGCGAGTATCGCCCCTTGGTGCCCGGCAAGTACCAGGTGGCCATTACCTGGGGGGGCTACGCCATCCCCCGCAGGTCAGTCAGCACCCCCTATCCGTGGGTCACCCCCCGCCCATGGGACATCCCCGTCCGTGGGTCAACCCCGGGGGCGGGCGGGTGTGCATGGGGGGGTGTGCAAGGGGTGTGTGATCGGAACGAGGGGTTGTTATAGGTGCAAGGGGGGTGTGAGGGGGCGCACAAGGAGCAAGTGGGGGGCATGAGGGGTGTGTAAAGGGCGTGCATGGGCCATGTGGTAGGCGCAGGGGGTTGCAGTATGTGCAAGGGGTGAGGAGTGCATAAGGAATGAGTGGGGTGCACAAGGGGCATGTGGGGTGTGCTGGGTGTGCAAGGGCTGCATGAGGCCATGCGTGACATGTGTGATGTGATGTGGTGTGTGACATGTATGACACATGTGACATGTAATGTGTGATTATGTATGACATGTGTGCTATGTATGACACATGTGACATGCGATGTATGACACGTGACATGCGATGTGTGACATGATGCATCTGATATGTATGACACGTGACATGTATGACACGTGAGGTGTGACATGTATGACACGTGTGACATGTATGACATGTGACATGCGATGTGTGACATCTATGACATGTGACATGTATGACACGTGACATGCGATGTGTGACATGTATGAGACGTGTGACATGTATGACACGTGCCATGTGATGTGTGACATGTATGACATGTGACATGTGATGTGTGGCATGTATGACACGTGTGACATGTGTGACATGTATGACATGTGACATGTGTGACATGTGATGTGTGACATGTATGACACACGATGTGTGGCATGTATGACACGTGACATGTGTGACATGTGATGTGTGACATGTATGACATGTGATGTGTGACATCTATGACACGTGTGACATGTATGACAGGTGACATGCGATGTGTGACATCTATGACATATGTGACATGTATGACACATGACATGCGATGTGTGGCATGTATGACACGTGACATGTGATGTGTGACATGTATGACATGTATGACATGTGACATGTGGTGTGACATGTATGACACGTGACATGTGATGTGTGACATCTATGACACGTGTGACATATATGACACGTGACATGTGATGTGTGACACGTATGACACGTGTGACACGTATGACACATGTAACATGCGTGCGATGCTGCGCAGCCCATTCGAGGTGCAGGTGTCCCCCGCGCCCGGGTGGCAGAAGGTGCGGGCCTGGGGGCCGGGACTGGAGGGCGGCACCGTGGGCGCCTCGGCTGACTTCGTGGTGGAGGCTGTGGGCACCGAAGTGGGGACCCTGGGTGAGACATGGGGACACTGAGGGGGGACATGGGTGTGGGGTGGGATGCATGTGGTGGGGACATGGGCATGGGGTAGGTGCTATCATGGGCAGGGACACCATGGTGCAGACATGGGGTGGGGGACACCATGGTGGGGAGGTAGACATGGGGTGGGTGGCATCATGGTGAGGACACGGAGATCGAGTGACATCTTAATGGGGATGTGGGTGTGGAGTGGGGAGCACCGTGGGGTGGGTATATGGGGTGGTGGATATGGGTATGGGGTGGGTGACACCATGGGATGGTGAAGATGTGGGCATGGGCTGGAACACACCATAAGGTGGGTGTCACCACGGTGGGGACACGCACATGGGCTGGAGGACATCATAGGGTGCGTGGCACCACGGTGGGGACACCAAGTGGGTGACACGAAGGTGGGGACACCAAGTGGGTGACCCCATGGTGGGGACACCAAGTGGGTGACACCACGGTGGGGACACGGGTACGGGTTGGAGGACACCACGGTGCGGATGCGGTTACGGGGTGGGTGACATGGTGAGGACATGGGCATGGGAAGGGGGTCACCGTGGCCGGGGTGTCACCATGATGGGACACGGACACGGGTTCCCCCACCCTGTCCCTGGGTTACCCCTGGCGCCCTGCGCAGGGTTCTCCATCGAGGGCCCGTCACAGGCGCGCATCGAGTGTGACGACCGCGGGGACGGCTCCTGCGATGTGCGGTACTGGCCCACGGAGCCCGGGGACTACGCCGTGCACGTGGTGTGCGACGACGAGGACATCAAGGACAGCCCCTTCATCGCGCACATCCTGCCCGCCCCCAGGGACTCCTGGCCTGACAAGGTGCTGCCCTGCACCCCATGGAGCCCCATAGCACCCTGTAGCACCTCATTGTACCTCGTAGCGCTTTATTGCACCTTTCTGTGCCACATAGCACCTCATTGCACCCCATAGCACACTACAGCACCCTGCTGCACCCCGTAACAATTCATTGCACCTCATTACAACCCACAGCACCTCATTGCATCCTGTTGTTCCCCATAACACCCCCATAGCATCTCACTGCACCTTGCTGTGCCCCATAGCACCCTGCTGCAACCCATGGTACCCCATAGCATCCCACTATTCCCCATAGCACCCTTCTATGCCCCATAACACCATTCTGTGCCCCAATGCACCTCATTGCACCCTCATGTGCCCCATACCACCTCATAGCACCCAGCTGTGCCCCATAGCACACTTCTGCACCCCAGTGTACCTCTTTGCACCCTATAGCACCCCACTGTGCCCCATAGTGCCCTACTGCACCCCGTTGCACCCCATTGCACTCTCCATTGGTGCTGGAGGTGCCGGAGCCAGCCTGATCCCCACTCACAGGTGAAGGCCTTTGGGCCGGGGCTGGAGCCCAGCGGCTGCATCGTGGAGCGCCCGGCAGAGTTCACCATCGACACCCGCGGCGCCGGCAAAGGGCCTCTCAAGCTCTATGCACAGGTAAGGAGATGGTGGAGCCATTGAGTGCCCTTGAGTCCCTTTGGGTGGCATTGGGTTCGACTGGGTCCTGTTAAGAGCCATTGGAATCCGCTGGGTCTAATTGGGTGCTGTTGGGAGCCATTGGGTCCCTCTGAGTCATGTTAAGAGCTATTGGATCCCACTGGGTGGTGTTGGGTCCCACCAGGTGCTGTTGGGTCCCCCTGGGAGCCATTGGGAGCCTTTGAGTCCCATTGGGTCCCACTGAGTCCTGTTGGCAGCCATTGAGTGTCATTGGATCCAGCTGCGAGTTGGGAGCTGTTAGGTCCCATTGGGAGTCATTTGGTCCCATTGGGTCCTATTGTATGCCGTTGGGTGCTACTGGGCCCCGTTGAGTCCTGTTGGCAGCCATTGAGTGTCATTGGATCTAGCTGGGAGTTGGGAGCTATTGGGTGCTGTTAGGTCCCATTGGGAGTCATTTGGTCCCCTTGGGTCCCATTGTATGCCACTGGGTGCTATTGGGTGTCATTGGGTCCTGGTGGGAGCCATTGGGTCCTATTAGGAGCCATTGGGTTCCAGTGGGGGATGTTGGGTCCTGTTGCAAGCCACTGAGAGCCATTGGGTGACATTGGGTCCTGTTGGGTTCCAGTAGGTCCCATTGGGCACCATTGGGTGCCAATGGGTCCCCTCACCTCTTCTGATGCCTGCAGGACGCCGAGGGCTTCCCCATCGACATCAAGGTGAAGGACAACGGTGACGGCACCTACCACTGTGTGTACGTGCCCACCAAGGCCATCAAGCACACCATCATCGTCACCTGGGGTGGCGTCAACACCCCCCGCAGCCCCTTCCGGGTGCGTGCCATGGGGTGTTGGTTGGAGGGGTGATGGAGATGGGGGTCCTATAGGGATGGGGTGCTAAGGATGGAGATAGGCATCCTATGGCCATGGAGATGGGGATCCCAGACCTGTGGGGTGCTGGGGAGGGATGGGGTCCCATGTGGTGGACATGGAGGTCTCATGGGTGTTGGGAGTCCCATGAAGTGTCAGAGGTGGGGTTGAGAGTGCCAGGCGGGGTGTTGATGTGTGGTCTTTGGGGTGCTGTTGTCTATGGGGTGCTGGCAGGAGCAGTGACCCCAGTGCCGTGCCCACAGGTGGCGGTGGGCGAGGGCAGCCACCCTGGGCGGGTGAAGGTCTATGGGCCGGGTGTGGAGAAGACAGGGCTCAAGGCCAATGAACCCACCTACTTCACTGTGGACTGCAGCGAGGCCGGGCAGGGTGAGCACCCCTGGGACACCGCTGTGGGCACTGCACTGCAACCTGGCCCCTTGACATGGTTCAGTGTCCCTGGTCCATCATCCCTGCTCTTAGTCCATCTCCAGTCCATTGTCCCTGGTCATGGTCCATTGTCCCCGGTCCTGGTCCAGCAACTCTGGTCTTGGTCCATCACTCCTGGACCGTTGTCCATGGTCATGGTCCATCATCCCTGGTCTTAGTCCATCATCTCCAGTCCATTGTACCTGGTCATGGTCCATTGTCCCCGGTCCTGGTCCATCATCCCTGGTATTGGTCCATCACTCCTGGACCATTGTCCATGGTCATGGTCCATCATCCCTGGTCCTGGTCTGTCATTCCTGGTACAACATCCCTGGTATTGGTCCATAATCTCTGGTCCATTGTCCCTGGACTTGGTCTAACGTCCCTGATCCTGATCCATCATTCCTGGTCCATCATCCATGGTCTTGATCCATTTCCCTGGACCATCATTCACCATCCATGGTTCATTATTTGTGGTCCTGGTCCACTGTCCCTGGTCCGCCATCCCTGGTCTTGGCCTCTCATCCAGTTGTCCCTGTTCCATCCCCAGTCCCAATCCCACGTCACATCCCCTCTCCCCTCCTCTATCACCACCACCCCGGGGTGACCCATCCCTGACACCCTCCGTGCCCACCCTGCAGGCGATGTGAGCATCGGGATCAAGTGTGCCCCAGGTGTGGTGGGGCCGGTGGAGGCCGACATCGACTTCGACATCATCAAGAACGACAACGACACGTTCACGGTGAAGTACACGCCACCGGGCGCGGGGCTCTACACCATCATGGTGCTGTTTGCCAACCAGGTACCCCCATCCCCACGGCGCGGGGTCACCCCCCAGGGTTATAGGGGTGTCCCCGCCCCCACTGAGCCACTGCCTGTCCTGCAGGAGATCCCCAGCAGCCCCTTCCGCATCAAGGTGGACCCATCCCATGACGCCTCCAAGGTCAAGGCTGAGGGGCCCGGGCTCAGCCGGACAGGTGAGGGCATGGGGCAGGGAGGGGTGCTACAGGGGTGGGTGCTGTGGAGCAGCGACCATGGGTGCTGTAGGGATGGGTGTTGAGGGGATGTGGCTCTGGGTGCTATAGGGATGGGTGTTGTAAGGATGGATGTTGTAAGGCAATGTCTTATGGGTGCTGTGGGGTTGCGTGCTTTGGATACAGATCCCTTGGTGTTGTGGGGCTGGGTGCCATGGGGGAGGGACCCTGGGTGCTGTGGGGATGGGTGCCATAGGACTGAGACCCTAACCATAGGGCTAGGTGCTGTGGGGCTGGACTTGGATGGTGCTGTGAAGATGGGTGCTGTGGGGAGAATGGTGCTGTGGGTATGTGGCTCTGGGTGCTGTAGGGTTGGGTGCTGTAGGGCAGAGACTCAGGGTGCTGTGGGACACGGGTGCTATGCGTGTGAGTGCTGTGGGTGCTGTGGGGCATAGATGGATGGTGCTGTGGGGTCTATGGGTTCTGTATTTATGTGGCTCTGGGCGCTGTGGTGCTGGCTGCCGTGCAGTTGGGTGCTCTAGAGCAGGGATGCTGGGTGCCATGGGTCCGGGTGCTGTGGGTCCATGTGTGCGCTCAGCATGATGCTGATGCTGTCCCCATGCTGTGTCCCCGCGTGCAGGCGTGGAGGTGGGGCAGCCGACGCACTTCACGGTGCAGACGCGGGGTGCAGGCAAAGCCCCCCTGGACGTGCACTTTGGGGGGCCGGGGCCGGGCCCTGCTGTCACCGACTTCGAGCTCATCGACAACCACGACTACACCTACACTGTCAAGTACACGGCGCTGCAGCAGGTATGGGCCGGCACCCATGGGTGCCACATGGACACCCCACGCCCATAGGGCTGCCCCCATGGGTACCACCATGGGCACCCCATCCCCACTGCCCACTCCATCCCCGTGAGGATCCCCATCCCCACGGGCCACTCTATCCCCTTGGGGAGCCCCATCCTCATGGGCACCTCCATTGACAACCCATCCCCATGAGCATCCCATCCCTATTGACACCCCATGGGCATCCAAGGGTACCTTATCCCCTTGGGGCACCCCTATGGGCAACCCTGTCGCCATAAGGACACCCCATCCTTGTGGGGTGTGCCATTGACACCCCATCTCCATTGACACCTCATCCTCATGTGCACCCCATCCCCATGGGGTATCTCACAGGCCTGCCCTTATGAGGTGCCACTGTGGGCTCACCACCATGGGGCACCCCATGGGCACTTCATCCCCATGTGCACCCCATAAAGGCACCCTCATTGACCCCCCCCTCCCCATGGGGCACGCAACTGACCCAATTCCTGACACCCCATCCCCATTGTGTCCATCACCCCCTGCAGGGACCCCTGTCCGTGGCTGTCACCTATGGGGGTGACCAGATCCCGCGCAGCCCCTTCCCTGTCACTGTGGCCCCACCCCTGCAGCTCAGCAAGGTCAAGGTGCAGGGGCTCAACAGCAGTGAGTGATGGGGCCCTGCGGTTGGGGGGCACCCTGGGGTAGGGATACCCTTGGGTATGAGGCACCCTGGGGTGGTGGGGGACACTCTTGGGTGAGGGGGACACTGGTGTGTGGGGTGTCCCATGGAGTGGAGGGGACACTTGGAGAGTGCTCTATTCATTATGGGGCACCATGGGGTGCGGGGGACACCATCTTTAAGTGTGAGTTGCACTATGGAGTGGGAGAAACCTTGGGGTGGGGAGACACTTGTGTATGGGGTACAGCATGGGTGGGACACTTGGTTATGGTGTGCACCCTTGGGGGGGGCACCCTTGGGTAAGGTGCACCCTTTGTTTGGAGACACTTGGGTATGGCTGTATTCTGTGGGATAGGTGCCCCCTGGGGTGGGACCCTCTTGTCTATGGTCGCTCTGGGGTGGTGGGACCCCTGTGTCAATGATGATCCCCCCTGACCCCCGTATCCCCCCACAGAGGCGTCCGTGGGGCAGGCGCAGCAGTTCTCGGTGCAGGCGCAGGGCGCAGGGGGCCAGGGCCGGGTGGAGGTGTCTGTGACCGGCCCCTCGGGCCGCCCCGTGCCCTGTAGGGTGGCCCCACCACCCCCCGGCGGCGCCCACCCGGTCACCTTCACCCCCTCCGAGGAGGGGCCCCACCGCGTCCACGTCACCTACGATGGGCACCCGGTGCCCGGGAGCCCCTTCCCCGTGGAGGCACTGCTGCCCCCCGACCCACACAAGGTGAGTGCGAGGACCCCGGGGCACCACTGACACCCCCTTTGCACAACTGAACCCCACCATGGGCACCCACTGATCCCCTCTGGGCACCAGAGATACCCCCTTCGCACGACTGACCCACAGCATGGGCACCACTGAGCCCCTTGTGCTTCTTGCACGCTCACGCTGCCTGTGGGTGCTCCTTGCACCCTCCCCGTTGTCACCCCATCCCTTGCACCCTCACCACTGGCATGCTCTTGCATTGCACACTCACTTCTAGCACCCATCCCTTGCACCCTCCCCTCCATCGCTCCATCCCTTGCACGCGTACCACCAGCACAACGCCCCTTGCACGCTCCCCATTGACACTCCATCTCTTGCACAGTCACCTGCCGAATTCCACCCCTTGCAACCTCCCCTTTTCAGATCCCCCCATCCCTTTCACACTTACGGCCGGCACACTCATCCCTTGCACCCTTGTCACTGGCAGGCTCTTGCCTTGCACACTTAATGCCAAAATGTCCATCCCTTGCATGCTCACCACCGTCTCCATCCCTTGCACCACTCCACCTTCTCAGATTCCCAGCCTTTGCGCCTTTCCCATTGCCATCCCATCCCTTGCACCTTCACCTCCATCACGTTCATCCCTCACACCCTCCCCACCTCACCTCCATCCCTTGAACCCTCCCCATGGTCACCCCATTCCTTGCATCCTCATCCCCTGTCTCTCACACTCACAGGTGAGCGCCTTTGGGCCGGGTCTCCAGGGCGGGCGCGTGAACACCCCGGCCCCATTCACCATCGACACCAAAGGTGCCGGCACCGGGGGCCTGGGGCTGACGGTGGAGGGTCCGTGCGAGGCCAAGATCGAGTGCCAGGACAATGGGGACGGCTCGTGTGCCGTGTCCTACCTGCCCACCGAGCCCGGCGACTACACCATCAACATCCTCTTCGCCGACCAGCACATCCCGGGCAGCCCCTTCAAGGCCGTGGTCACACCGGTGTTCGACCCGGACAAGGTGACGGCCAGCGGCCCCGGGCTGGAGCACGGCAAGGCAGGCGAGGTGGCCACCTTCATGGTGGACTGCTCCAAAGCCGGCGAGGCTGAGCTCACCATTGAGATCATCTCAGAAGCGGGGGTGAAGGCGGAGGTGCTGATCCAAAACAACCGCGACGGCACCTACACCATCACCTACACCCCGGCCTGCGCCGGCGCCTACACCATCACCATCAAGTACGGGGGGCGCGCTGTGCCCAAGTTCCCAGTGCACGTCACCGTGGATCCGGCTGTGGACACCAGCGGTGTCAAGGTCTATGGGAAAGGAGTGGAACCACGAGGTGAGGGCAAGAGGAAGGTCCTGCCCATGGGTAGCTGTTCCCCATGGGCACCTTCTGCTTATGGCCATCTCCTCCCCATGGATGTGTCTTCCCCATGGCCATTCCCATAGGCATGTCTTCTCTATGACCGTCTTCTGTCCATGGCCATCTCTTTCCCATGGTCATCTCCTCGTGTCCTCTCCATGTCTGTGTCCTACCCATACCCATGGCCATCTCCTGATGAACATGTCCTTCCCATGGATACATCTTCCCCTTGGCCATCTCCATTTCATGGACATTCTCATGGTCATGTCTTCCCCATGGCCATGTCCATTTTATTGACACATCCTCCCAATGGCCATCTCCTCATGGCCATCCCCATGGACATGTCCTTCCCGTGGCCATCTCTATGGCCATCCCTATTATCTACTCTCCATAGCCATCCCCATAGACTTGTCCACCCCATGGATATCTCCATGGCTGTTTCCTCCCCATGGACAGGTCCACCTCATGGCCTTCCCCATGGATGTCTTCTCCTCATGGAGCTCCCCATGGCCACCATACCCTTGCATGACCATCTCACCCCCATGGCCACCCCTGCCCTCCCCATTCCACAGAGCCCCCTAGGGCAGCCCCACAGGCACCACCCCTGTGTGGGCACCCACTGTGCTCGCCGGGTGGGTGCTGAGTCCTGTCTTGCAGGGGTGCTGCGTGAGGTGAGCACCGACTTCACGGTGGACGCACGGGCGCTCACCAAGACGGGGGGGCCCCATGTCACCACGCGGGTGATCAACCCCTCGGGCGCCAAGACTGACACCTTTGTCACCGACCTTGGCGACGGCACCTACCGCGTGGAGTACACCCCCTACGAGGATGGTGAGACTCCAGCACCCCATAGTCACGTCCTGTGGGAAGCCCCCTGGCCACAGACATCCCCATGGGCACCCAGAGCCAGGGATCATGCAGCAGCATGGTCAGGGATGCCCAAAACGCCTTAAGACCCTCTAAGACCCCAACCATGGGCCTTCAAAGCCATTGAGATCCCTTAAAACCTAACCAGGGACCCCTCAAAACACCGAGATCTTCTTCAAAACTCAACCAGATACTTCCAGACCTCTTGAGACCCCCCAAAACCCAACCATGGGCCTTCAAAGCCTTTGAGATCCCTCAAAACCCAACTAGGGACCCATAAACCCCTTGAGATCCCCCAAACCAACAGTCAGGGACCCATAAATTCCCTTGAAACCCTCCCAAACACCAATCAGATACCTCCAAAGCCCTTGAGATGCCCCAAAACCCACCCAGGGAACTCCCAAACCACCAAGATCCTTCTTAAACTGCAACCGGGGACCTCCAAGCCCTCTGAGACCTCCCAGAAATCCCATCCAGTGACTCTCAAACTCCCTGAAACCCACCAAAACCCAACCAGGGACCCCAGAACCTCTTGAGACCCCCCAGAACCCAACCAGGGTCATACCCCGTGTCCTCCTGCTCTGACGCTGTGTCCTGTTGTCCCCGTGTCCCAGGTGTGCACCGTGTGGAGGTGATGTACGATGAGGTGCCGGTGCCCAAGAGCCCATTCCGCGTGGCTGTGGCCGAGGGCTGTGACCCCACTCGTGTGAGGGCGCACGGGCCTGGCCTGGAGGGCGGCCTTGTGGGGAAAGCCAACCGCTTCACTGTGGAGACCAGGTGAGTGCAACAGCAACACATCAATAACACAACAGCAAGCCAACAACAACAATACAACAGCAACCCATCAACAGCAACGCAACAGTAACACAACAGCAACCCAACAGCAACCCAGCAACAACAGCACACCAATAACACAACAGCAGCCCAACAACCACCCAACACATAGGCACACCAACACCCAATCACTTCACTGTGGAGACCAGGTGAATGCAACAGCAACCCAATAACCACCCAACACCAACCTGGCAACAACCCAACATACCAACTACACCCCAACAATAACCCAACACATCCACAGCACATCACCTCCAGCACACCACCACCAGCACACCACCCCCAACCCAACACATCAACAACACCCCAACAACAACCCAACACATTGACTCACCAACACACCAAGAGCTTCACAGTAGAGACCACCTCCATCCCACTCGAGTAACAAACTCATCACCTCCGTCTCTTGCCATTTATTGTGCCACCTCCATCCCACTCTATGAATGTGCCACCTCTGATTCTTGCCATTGGATGTGGTGCCTCCATCTATGGAGGTGCATCCACCATGACACCAACCTTCTACCTTCATCTCTTCTCATTGGTGTGCCACCTCCTTGCTGTGTCACCAACCTGGCACCTCCATCTCTTGCCTTTGGATGTGCCACCTCCATCCCCTTGCATGTGATGTGGCACCTCCATCCCCTCCCGTGCATGTGCCGCCTCATGCCCATGCCACTAACCTGACACCTTCATCCTCTTGCAATGGGGCTGTGCCACCTCTGTCCTTTATGTTGGATGTGGCACCTCCATCTCCCCACTATGTCTACATCCCCCCCACCCCTGGCACCCCCCTGATCTGTGTCCCCTCTGCAGGGGCGCGGGCACCGGAGGGCTGGGCCTGGCCATCGAGGGTCCCTCCGAGGCCAAGATGTCCTGCAAGGACAACAAGGACGGGAGCTGCATGGTGGAGTACATCCCCTTCACACCGGGCGACTACGATGTCAACATCACCTTCGGCGGCCACCCCATCCCTGGTGCGTGGGCAGTGGGGTCCTGGGGGGGAATGTGGGGCTGTGGGACCCTCCATGGGGCTGGGGCTTGGAAAGGGCTCCCTGGGTGCTGGGGGTGGGTATGGGTGTGCTGACCCCTGATGGCCACCACCATGTGGCTTTACTGGCCCCATGTCCACCCCATGCCGACCCCAAAACCATGGGCTGGTCCTATGGCCATGTGGACCCCACTACTGTGCTGGCCGCATGGCCATGGCTTTGGTGGCCCCATGGCCATGTTGACCCTGTGAATATGTTCATCCCATGGCCACATTGACCCATGGCCCTGTTGACCTCATTGCAATGTTCTCCCCATGGCCACAATGACCACATGGACATATTGACCCCATGCCCATGTTGACCTTATAGATATGTTGATCCCACGGCCATGTTGACCCCATGGGCACTCTGATCCCATGGACAATCTGACCCCATGCCCTTGTTGTCCCCCTGCCCACACTGACCCCACAGGGAGCCCATTCCGGGTGCCGGTGAAGGACGTGGTGGACCCCAGCAAGGTGAAGTGCTCGGGGCCAGGTCTGGGCCCCACCGTGAGGGCGCGGGTGCCCCAGACCTTCACAGTGGACTGCAGTGCCGCGGGGCTGGCGCCGCTCGAGGTCACCCTGCTGGGACCCTCTGGTACATGGGGACGGGAACTCGTGGGGATGGGGGGCATGGAGGGAGGGTGGTCACCATGGGTGATTTGTGCTTGGGATGTCTTGCTCCATGGGCTATCCTGCTCCATGGATGCTCTTCTCCATGGGCTGTCCTACCCCATAGATCCCACCATCTATAGGGTGTTGTGCTTTGTAGGATGTCCTGCTCCATAGAGCACACACTCCCTGGTGTCCAGTCCCACGGATGCCCTTCTCCATAGGGATGCCTAACCTCATAGATTCTACCCTCCACAGGGTGTCCTACCCCATAGATCCCATGCTCCGTAGGGTCTCCTGCTCTATAGTGTGTCCAACCCCATGGATGACCTTCTCCATAGGGTCTCCAGCCCCACAGAACCACCCTCTATAGGATGTTCTACACCATCTATGTTCTATCTATGCGATAGGATGGGATCTATGGTGTTGAAACCCTCTATGGGCTGTCCTGCTCCATATGGTGTTCTATTCTATATGGTGTCCAACCCCATGGATGCCCTTCTTCATGGAGTGTCCTACTCAATAGGGTATCTAATTCCATAGACCCCATGTTCCATAGGGTGTCCAGCTCCATCGATCCTACTCTCTGTAGGTTGTCCTGCTCCATAGGGTGCTCAACCCTATAGATCGCCCCCTCCTTAGGGTCCCCCAGCCCCACTGACCGCCTCTCCCCAGGTCTACCAGAGCCGGTTGAGGTCCGTGACAATGGTGATGGCACCCACAAAGTCAACTACACCCCGTCCACCGATGGCCCCTACACCGTGACCATCAAATACGCTGACCAGGAGGTCCCGCGCAGGTGAGGAGCCTGCTGTGGGGTGACCATGGGACCCCCAGGGGCTGTGGGTCCCAGCACCCCACTGACCTGCATGTCCTCTGCAGCCCCTTCAAGCTGCAGGCAGTGCCGGGCCATGACGCCAGCAAGGTGAGAGCCAGTGGCCCTGGGCTCAGCCCCACCGGTGTCCCTGCCAGCCTGCCCGTGGAGTTCACCATCGACGCCCGCGACGCCGGCGAGGGGCTGCTCACTGTCCAGATCCTGGTGAGCACCCATGGGACCCGTTGAGACCCATGTACACCTCCAGCACCCATGACATTGAGTATTGAGAGCCATGTGTAGCTCTAGAACCCGTTGTATTGGGTGCTGAGATCCACAGGTTGACCTGGCAACCGTGCCATTGGGTGCTGAGACTTACAGGTAGCTCTGGCACCCAAACCACTAGGCCTCGAGACCCATGTGGTGACCTGGCCATATGGGTGCTGAGACCCATATGTAACTCTAGCACCCATGCCATTGGGTGCCGAGACCCATATGGTGCCCTGGCACCCCTGCCATTGAGTGCTGAGACCTATATGCAGCTCTAGAACCCACACCATTGCATGCTGTGTTGGGTGCTGGGACCCATATCGGGCAGGGACCCATTATGGTGCTGGGACCCATAAAGTGCCTTGGCACCTGTCTTTGGGTCCTGAGCCCTGTTCCCCATGCCATTGGGTGCTGAGCCCTGGAGGGCACCTGTGCCCCATACGTGTGCCCTGACCCTGCTGGGTGCTGCAGGACCCCGAGGGGCAGCCGACGGCGTCATCGATCCGGGACAATGGGGACGGGACGTACGCGGTGTCCTACGTGCCAGCGCTGCCCGGGCGCTACACCAGCACCGTCAAGTACGGCGGTGACGAGATCCCGCGCTCGCCCTTCCGTACCCACGCCGTGCCCGCGGGCGACGCCAGCAAGTGCCTCGTCACAGGTACATGCACTGACCCACAGCGCACACTGACCCATAGCATCCCATGGCAAACACACTGACCCATAGCATCCCATAGCACACGCACTGACCCATAGCATCCCATAGCACACGCACTGACCCATAGCATCCCAGAGCACACACACTGACCCATAGCAAGCACACTGACCCATAGCATCCCAGAGCACACACACTGACCCATAGCATCCCATAGCACACACACTGACCCATAGCATCCCATAGCACACACACTGACCCATAGCATCCCAGAGCACACACACTGACCCATAGCATCCCATGGCAAACACACTGACCCATAGCATCCCAGAGCACACGCACTGACCCATAGCATCCCATGGCAAACACACTGACCCATAGCATCCCATGGCACACGCACTGACCCATAGCATCCCAGAGCACACGCACTGACCCATAGCATCCCAGAGCACACACACTGACCCATAGCATCCCATAGCACACGCACTGACCCATAGCATCCCATAGCACACACACTGACCCATAGCATCCCAGAGCACACACACTGACCCATAGCATCCCAGAGCACACACACTGACCCATAGCATCCCATAGCAAACACACTGACTCATAGCATCCCATAGCAAACACACTGACCCATAGCACCCCATAGCACACACACTGACCCATATAGCACCCCATAGCACACATACTGACCCATAGTAGCCTTGTGCTGACTTACAGCATGTCCACACTGAGCCACGGTGTGTCCACACTGATGATAGCATCCCTGTGCTCACCCATAGCATCTCCATCCTGACCTACACTGACCCGTAGCATGTCTATGTTGACCTATAGCAGCCCTGTGCTGACCCACACTGACCCATCCTGCCCTATGGCGTCCCCCCACTGCCCCATGGCAGCCCCTGCTGACCCATACTGACTTCCAGTGACCCATATCATCCCCATGCTGCCCTATGGCATCTCTACCCTGCCCCATGGCTGACCTATAGCATCTCTTCACTGTCCTATGGCAGCCCCTGCTGATTCATGGTACCCCCTTGCTGCCCTACGGTATTCCTTGTACTGCCCTACAGCATCCCTGTGCTGCCCCACAACATCTCCACAATGCCCCATGGCATCTCCTCATTGTCTCACAGCACCCCTACTCTGCCCCACAACAGCTCTCTCTGACCCACAGCATCCCTGGGCTGCCCCGTAGCATCTCCATCCTTCCCTATGCCATCCTTTACTGACCCATGGCATCTGCATGCCACATCCTGCTGCCCCATGGCATCCCTGTGCTGATCCCTGGCTCCCAACTTTGCCCTATGGATCCCCCTGTGCTGCCCCATGGCCCCCTCCCTGCTCCTGCCCCTTCTCACGTGCCTCTCCCTGGTCTCTCCGCAGTGTCCATTGGGGGCCATGGCCTGGGTAAGTGCTGCCGGGGCTGGGCTGGGGAGGTCACTTGTGGGGCTAGAGATGTGTCCCCATGACCGTGACCCCCCCCCCAAACCTGCTCCAGGCGCCTGCCTGGGCCCCACCATCCAGATCGGGGAGGAGACGGTGATCACGGTGGACGCCAAAGCGGCCGGGCAGGGAAAGGTGACCTGCAAAGTGTCCACCCCCGACGGGGCTGAGCTGGACGTGGATGTGGTGGAGAACCACGACGGCACCTTCGACATCTACTACACAGCGCCCGAGCCCGGGAAATACGTGATCACCATCCGCTTCGGGGGCGAGCACGTCCCCAACAGCCCCTTCCACGTCCTGGTGCGTGATGGTGGGGCCATGTGGGGTTGGGAGGATGGGGCAGAGAGTTGGGGCCGTGGTGGTCACCATGGGGTTGGGGGTCTATGATGGGTACTATAGGGCATAGAGCTGGGGCCACAGTAGCCACCAAGGAGCTAGGAGACCATGATGGGCACCATAGGGCTGGGAGACCTTGGTGGGCACCATGGGGTTTGGAGACCATGGTGAGTGCCATGGGGCAGAGAGCTGGCATCATGGTGGATGTCATTGGGCTGGGAGACCGTAATGGGCACCATGGAGTAGGGAGACTGTAATGGGCACCATGGAGTTAGGAGACCGTAATGGGCACCATGGAGTTGGAAGAGCATGGTGGGCACCATGGGACAGAGAGCTGGGGCCATGGTGGTCTTCATGGAGTTGGGCGAGTATGGTGGGCACCAAGGGGTTGGGAGTCTATGACGGGTGCTGTAGGCTAGAGAGTTGGGGCCAAAGTGACCATTGTGGCCTTGGGAGAATGATGGGCACCAAGGAGTTGGGAGATCACAATGAGGACTATGGAGGAGGGAGAGCATGGTGGGTGCCATGGGGCAGAAAGCTGACACCATGGTGGGATTTATCATGGGGTTGTGAGACTATAAGGGGCACCATGAAGTTGAGAGACCATGAGGAGCACAATGGCGGAGAGAGCTGGAGCCATAGTGGTCTTCATGGAGTTGGGAGAGCATGGTGGGCACTGTGGGGTTGGGAGTCTATGATAAGTGCTATAGGGCAGAGAGCTGGGGCCATGGTAGCCATTGTAGGGTTGGAAGATCATGATGAAGAGATCTTGGGGAAGAGTTGGGGCCATAGTGGTCATCCTAGATTTAGGAGATCCATGGTGGGCACTGTGGGGTGAAGAGTTTAGACCATGGTGGTCATGATGGGGCAGAGATCTGGGGCTATAATGGGCATCATGAGGTTGGGAGACCATGATGGTCACCATGGAGTTGGGGCCAGGATGATAACCATAGAGTTGGGAGACCATGGTGGACACCATAGGGCAGAGCTTTGGGTCCACGATGGGCACAGTAGTGTTGGCAGCTCCCCATGGGTACCTGGTTCCTCACCCCTCCTCTGTGCCCCACACCTCAGGCCACAGAAGAGCCCCCAGCCACCACTGAGAACCTGCGGCCCTTCAACCTGGTCATCCCCTTCACAGTGCAGAAGGGCGAGATCACAGGTACGGGGTGGAGAGACCTCAGTGTGGGGGGCACTGACCACGCCGTAGGGCATGGTGGGGCAGGACCCAGCCCCATGGTGACAACCGGTTGACCTGGTGACTGTAGGGGAGGTGCGGATGCCCTCGGGGAAGACGGCACGACCCAACATCACTGACAACAAGGACGGGACGGTGACTGTGCGCTACGCTCCCACTGAGAAGGGTCTGCACGAGATGGACATCCGCTATGATGGCAACCACATCCCTGGTGAGGCATCAAACTGGGGGCACTGGGAGGCACTGAGGGGCACTGGAAGGTGGCTGAGCAAGGTGGATCCCACCTTGGGTTGAGCAGCCCTGCCTTGAGCAGCCCATCATGGTGTGGGGTGTCCCCACGGGGGGCTTTGACCAATGCTCTTTGTGTCTCCAGGGAGTCCCCTCCAGTTCTATGTGGATGCCATCAACCCCCGGCATGTGAGCGCCTACGGGCCAGGGTTGAGCCATGGGATGGTCAACAAGCCTTGTACCTTCACCATCGTCACCAAGGACGCTGGCGAGGGTGAGCAGTGGCCAAAGGAGGCACCAAGAGGGTCCTGGGACCTCCTCAATGACACTAGTAAAGGGCTGGGAAGGGGTTGGAGACCCTCAGTGGCTCCTAACTGGCAACGCTGTGTCCCGTAGGTGGGCTCTCTCTGGCAGTGGAAGGTCCATCCAAGGCGGAGATCACGTGCCAGGACAACAAGGACGGGACGTGCACCGTGTCCTACCTGCCCACTGCGCCCGGGGACTACAACATCATCGTGCGCTTCGATGACAAACACATCCCGGGCAGCCCCTTCACCGCCAAGATCACTGGTGAGATGGGACCCAGGGCCCACTGAGGTCCTTGGGAGCTCTGTGTGGTCATGGGGACACCTGCAGGGTCATGGGGACCGTGGTCATGGCTGGAATCAGATGGTGACCATGGCCATGGCAAGGATGGGATGGTGGCCATGGCCAAGTGGGATGGTGGTCAAGGTCATGTGTTGGCTGTGGCCACCATAAAGGCAGCCCCTTCATTGCCAAGATCACTGGTGAGGAAGGACTAGCCATGTTCCTGGGGATTCCAACAAGGTCCTCTGGGAGCTTTGTGTGGCCGTGGGGACCCCTGTGTGGTTATGGGGACCTACCACATAGACGTGGTGTCCCTGTCCATCCCTGGCCACCAGAGCACCACCGCATGGCCATAAGGACTTCATGGGGCTTTGGAGGTCCTACCAAGGTCCTTGGGTCTTCTGTATGGTTATGTGTCCCCTGTGTGGTTATGGGGACATCTACGTGGTCATGGGGACTCCTGCATGGCCACTGGGACCCCATCAAAAAACCGTGGTGCCCCTGTCCATCCCTGGCCACCAGGACCTTATAACATAGCCCTAGGGACATCACTGGTCCTTGGGGACATCATCCCATGGCCACAGGTATCTTGCTGGCCCTTGGGGACCCCATCCCATGGCCATGTGGATGGCCCCACTGACAGCAGCTCCCCAGGGGACGACTCCATGCGGACGTCCCAGCTCAACGTGGGCACCTCCACGGATGTGTCCCTGAAGATCACAGAGACGGATCTGAGCCTCCTGACGGCCAGCATCAGAGCCCCATCCGGCACCGAGGAGCCCTGCCTGCTCAAGAGGCTGCCCAACCGCCACATCGGTGCGGGAGACAGGGGATATGTGGAATGGGGGATATGGGGATGTGGGATATGGGATATGGGCACATGGGACATGGAGATTTGGGATATGGGGACATGGGGAACATGGGACATGGGGATATGGGGACATGGGGGACATGGGACATGGGGAACATGGGACTTAGGGATATGGGGACATGGGACATAGGGATATGGGATGTGAGGATATGGGACATGGGGATGTGGGGACAGAAGAACTGGGACACGGAGAGGGGGTAGTGGGTACACAGGCATGGGGATGTGGTACCTGGGGATGTGGGACAGGGGACAACAGGGCTGTAGGTCAGATGGATGTGTGGCTTTGGGGTATTGGATGCCCAGGGCTCAGTGGCCATGGGTCAGCGTATGGGGGTTGTGGCCAGGGCCTGGAGATGGCCAGAGGCTGGAGGTGGAGGCCATGGGCAGATGGAGGTGTCTGATGGTGTTTCCCCCCTCCAGGTATCTCCTTCACACCCAAGGAGGTGGGTGAGCACGTGGTGAGCGTGAAGAAGAGTGGGCAGCACGTCACCAACAGCCCCTTCAAGATCCTGGTGGGGCAGTCAGAGATCGGGGACGCCAGCAGGGTGAAGGTGTGGGGCAAGGGGCTGGTGGAAGGGCACACCTTCGAGGTGGCTGAGTTCATTGTGGACACACGCAGTGCTGGTGAGACCATGATCCATGGGGCCATGGGCTGGGGGGACTGTGGGGTGGTCAGTGGGATGGGGTGGTGGCCATGGCCAGGTTGGGAGGGAGGCCATAGTCATGGCTGGGATGAAATGGTGATCATGGTCATGGCCAAGATGGGATGGTGGCCATGGTCATGTGCTGGCTGTGGTCAATATAAGTATGGGGTGGTGGCCACAGTTATGGCTGTGGTGTGCCACAGTGAGGATGGGATGGAGACCACGATCATGGTTGGCATAAGATGGTGACCAATGGCCATGGCTAGGGTGAGATGATGGCTTTAGTTGTGATTGGGATGAGATGGTGGGCATAGCCAGGATGGGATGATGATCATGTCTGGGATGAGATGGTGGCCATGGCCGCAGCTGAAATGGGATGGAGACATGGGCAAGGCCAGGATGGGATGGTGGCCATGGTTATGGCTTGGGTCTAGTACTGGCTATGGCCAATGTGAGATGGTGTCTGAGGCAGAAGGTGAATGGTGGCCATGGTGGTGGCATGGCCAAGGCCCAGATGAGGTGGTGACCAAGGCCAGCATGGGGTGGTGGCCATGATATGGCTATGGACAGGAAGGGATGGTGGCCATGGTGTAGCCATAGCCTAGAGGGTGATGCTGTGGTGACCATGGCTGTGGCATGGCTATGGTCAGGATGAGATGGGATGGAATAGGATGAGGATGGTGGCCATGGCATGACCATGGCCAGGATGGTGACACTATCAGTGGGACACCACTGATCATGTCCCTGTGGTTCCCCAGGCTATGGCGGGCTGGGCCTGTCCATTGAGGGCCCCAGCAAGGTGGACATCAACTGCGAAGACATGGAGGATGGGACCTGCAAGGTGACCTATTGCCCCACTGAGCCCGGCAACTACATCATCAACATCAAGTTCGCTGACAAGCATGTCCCAGGTGGGGACACGGGGGGACACTGGGGGCTGGGGACATGGGGCCCCTCCTGGTGGCCATGTCCTGAGGTGCCTGTGACCCACAGGGAGCCCCTTCACGGTGAAGGTGACGGGTGAGGGCCGCATGAAGGAAAGCATCACGCGCCGGCGGCAGGCGCCCTCCATTGCCACCATCGGCAGCACCTGCGACCTCAACCTCAAGATCCCAGGTAGGGAATGGCCCCATCCTCCTCCTCATCATCACCCTCTGTAGGGATGGACACAGGGACCCATCCTGACCACTCCAGCTGATTTCCACCTTCTTATTCCTTCTCTCCTCATCTGTTCGTGCCTTCATCCACTGGTGGGTCTGTCCATGTGTGGCTGCTTGTGCTGGTGGTGATCTGTGTGTCCACACATCTGTGTGTCCATCCATCACTGTCTCCATCCATCCTTGCTCCCATCCACCCAATATTTGTTCATCCATGTGACCATCACCGTGCCCATCCATCCCTGCACTCACCCCTGCATCTCTCTACCCCTGTATCTATACCCATGTCCATCGTGTGTTCATCCATGTCTCCATTCTTGTGCCTACCCATCCCTGCATCCACCACTACTTCCATCCCTGCTTTCAACCCTGTCTCTCACCATCCCTGTTTTCATTCATCCTCGCATCCTTCCACCCCTTTATCCATCACATATCCACATCTATTCCTGCATCCATCCCTGTGTCCATCCTTGTGCCTCTATCTGTATGTCCCTCCATGCCTCCATCCATGCCTCTATCCCTCCATGTCTTCAACCCATCTCCATCCTTGTCTCCATTCATCCCTGTCTCCATCCGCGTCTCCCTCACCTGCCTCCATCCCTATGTCCCTGACATCTCTACCCCTCCATGTCTTCACCCCTCCATGTCTTCACCCCTCCATGTCTTCACCCCTCCATGTCTTCACCCCTCCATGTCTTCACCCCTCCATGTCTTCACCCCTCCATGTCTTCACCCCTCCATGTCTTCACCCCTCCATATTTCCATCCCTCCACGTTTCCTTTCCTGTCTCCTTCCCCTCCTCCATCCTCTTCAACATCCTTGTCTCCATCCCTCCACCTCTCCATCCCTTGATATCTCCATCCCCATGTCCATCCCTGTTTCCATCCCTGTTGTCATCTCTCCATGACTCCATCCCCATCTCCATTCCTCCATGGCTCCATGTCCCCGTGTCCCGTTCTGTCCCCGTGGCAGGGAGCTGGTTCCAGATGGTGTCCGCGCAGGAGCGGCTCTCTCGCAGCTTCACGCGCAGCAGCCACACGTACACGCGCACGGAGCGCACCGAGATCAGCAAGACCCGGGGCGGGGAGACCACGCGAGAGGTGCGCGTCGAGGAGTCCACGCGCGTCGGCGCCGACCCCTTCCCGTCGGCGTTCCCGAGCTTCCTGCCCCGTGACGGCCTCGGCCCCTTCGGCACCATCGCCCGCAGCCAGGACGGTGCGTGCAGGGGGGCACCGGGGGCTTGCGCAAGGGACCGGGGCTGGGTGCAGCAGAGCGCCCTTGCAAGGGGGCCGTGTGTGCTCATGGGGACTCTGTACCCTTGCACAAGGGCCAGCACCCCCCTGGTGCCTGGTATTGGGGTGCCAGGGTGACATGGTGCTGAAATGTCAGGGTGCCCTGGCACCAAGGTGATGGGGGAATGGGGTGCCAGGGTGACGGGGTGGTGTGTGCCCTGGTGTCCGGGTGCTGTAGCACTGTGTTTGCCATGTGCTGGGGTGCCTGAACACTGGGGTGATGGGGTGCATGGTGATGGGGTTCTGGGGTTCAGTTGGTGCCCTGGTGTTAGGGTATCCTGGCACTGGTGTTGCTATGCCCTGGGGTGCCCCAGTACTGTGGTGCTGGGTGCTGGGTTGTCCCAGTACTGGGATGATGGGGTGGCATGGTGATGGAGTGCTGGGGTACCATTGTCAGTGTGTGCTGGCACTGGTGTTGCTGTGCCCTGGGGTGCCCCAGTACTGTGGTGCTGGGTTGTCCCAATACTGGGCTTATGGGGTGGCATGGTGATGGAGTGCTGGGGTACCATTGGTGCCCTAGTGTCAGGGTGTCCTGGCACTGGTGTTGCTGTGCCTTGGGGTGCCCCAGTACTGTGGTGCTGGGTGCTGGGTTGTCCCCGTACTGGGATGATGGGGTGGCATGGTGATGGAGTGCTGGGGTACCATTGGTGCCCTAGTGTCAGGGTGTCCTGGCACTGGTGTTGCTATGCCCTGGGGTGCCCCAGTACTGTGGTACTGGGTGCTGGGTTGTCCCAGTACTGGGATGATGGGGTGCATGGTGATGGAGTGCTGGGGTACCATTGGTGCCCTAGTGTCAGGGTGTCCTGGCACTGGTGTTGCTGTGCACTGGGATGGCCCAGCACTGCGGTGATGGGTTGATGGGGTGCCATTGGTGCCCTGGTGACTCTCTGTGTGTCCCCCCCACAGGCGAGGGCTCCCCACAGGAGCTGTGTGCGCACGTGCTGAGCCCCTCGGGGCAGCGCTTCGAGGCCGAGGTGGTGGCGGGCGCCGCCGGGGTGTACAGCGTGCGGTTCGTGCCGCAGGAGATGGGCCCGCACACCGTGAGCGTCAAGTACCGCGGGCAGCACGTGCCCGGCAGCCCCTTCCAGTTCACCGTGGGGCCGCTGGGCGAGGGCGGCGCACACAAGGTGCGGGCGGGGGGCACCGGCCTCCAGCGTGGCGTCGCCGGAGTGCCAGGTATGGGGTGTACGGGGGAGATGGGGGGTATAGGGAGAGATAGGTGCTGGGGATGGGGAATATGGGTGCAATGGGGGGTATTGAGGGTATGGGGGGAGATGGGGTTATGGGCAGAGATGGGTGCTGGGGGGTATGGGGGAAGATGGGAGGTGTGGAAGGGATATGGGTTCTTGGGGCGATATGGGTGCTATGTGGAGAGGTGGGTGCTGGGGAGGGATAGGGGTGATAGGAGGGTACGGTGGGAAATGGGGGGGTATGAGAGAGATGAGGATATGGGGACATGGGGCACAGCGGATATGGTGGGTATGGGGGGAGATGGGGGTGTGAGGTAAGATATGGATGCTGGGGGGAAGACTGGGTGTGAGGGCAATGGGGAATATGGGTGCTATGGGGGGAGATGGATGATAGAGAGGAGATAGAGGGTATGGGCAGATGGGGAGTATGGGAGGAGACAGGTATGGAGCGGATAAGAGGAGATGGATGCAATGGGCAGATATGGGGGAAATGGGGGGAGATGAATACAATGGGGGCATGTGGGTGCTATGGAGGGGTTATGGGTGCAATGGGAGATATATGGGTGCAGCGGGCATTATATGGGTGCAGTGAGTGGATATGGATGCAATGGAAGGCTTATGGGTGCAATGGGGGGATAAGGGTGCAATGAGGGTTATATGGGTGCTTATGGGGGTGCTATGTGTGCACTGGTGGGATGCGGTGCAGGGTGCTGGGGGACCCCCTCATCACCCCTATGTCCCCCCCAGCCGAGTTTAGCATCTGGACACGGGAGGCAGGTGCCGGGGGCCTCTCCATCGCCGTCGAAGGGCCCAGCAAGGCCGAGATCTCCTTTGAGGACCGCAAGGACGGGTCCTGCGGCGTCTCCTACCTCGTGCAGGAGCCGGGTATGGGCATGGGGACCCCCTGACCCCCCCTCCCCGGGGTGCTTGGAGCCCCCCAGAGCCAGGGTGACCCCTGTGTGTCCCCCTCAGGTGACTACGAGGTCTCCATCAAGTTCAATGAGGAGCACATCCCCGACAGCCCCTTTGTGGTGCCGGTGGCATCGCCCTCGGACGATGCCCGGCGCCTCACTGTCACCAGCCTGCAGGTACATGGGCACCCCCAGCATCACCCCCCATGGGCATCCCGGTGTCACCCCCATCCCATGTTACGCTGAGCCCATGGGGTCCCCAGGCAGAGCCAGGTCAGACCTGGGCCACCCTATGTCCATATGGGACACTTAGGATGCCCTAATGGCATCCTTGGTGCCACCTCTGAGCCCACACGGCACCTTGGGAATCCCCATCCCACCCCTGATGTTACCCCTGTGGCACCTCCGGGTGTCACCCTCTAGCACCCCTGTGGCACCCTTGGGCCCCTCCCCGGTACCACCCTGTGTCACCCCTGGGTCCCCCGTGTCCCTTGGGACCTCTCCATCCCTTCCCTGGTGCCATCTCTGTGCTCTGTGTCACCTCTGGGTGTCCCCTGTATCACCTCCACACCACCCCTGGGCCACCGCGCACCCCTGTGGCACCCTTGATGCCACCTCCATCCCCTCCCTGTCACCCTTGGGACCCCTCCACGCCACCCTTGGTGCCACACCGGAGTCCCCCGCTGTGTCCATGGTGCCACGTGTGTCCCCGCAGGAGGAGGTGACGGTGAACCAGCCCGCGTCCTTCGCGGTGCAGCTCAATGGGGCGCGTGGGGTCATCGACGCCAAAGTGCACACCCCGGGGGGCACGGTGCAGGAGTGCTGCGTGTGCGAGCTGGACAGCGGTGGGGCACGGGGCATGGGGACATGAGGGGGGATATGGGACATGAGGGGGGATATGGGGACATGAGGGGGGATATGCGACATGGGACATAGGACATGGGACATGAGGGGGGATATGGGATATAAGAATTGGGACATGAGGGGGATATGGGACATGGGACATGAGGGGGGATATGGGATATGAGAATTGGGACATGGGGGGGATATGGGACATGGGACATGAGGGGGGATATGGGACAGGTGGACATGAAACATGAGGGGGGGGATATGGGACATGGAACATGAGGGGGGATATGGGACATGGGACATTGGACATGGGACATGAGGGGGGATATGGGATATGAGACATGGGACATGAGGGGGGATATGGGATATGAGACATGGGACATGGGGACATGGGACATGAGGGGGGTTATGGGACATGGGACAGTGGGGGGATATGGGGACAGCATTATGGGGGATAACAGGACATGGGGAGATGGGATATGGATGGGAACATAGGAACACTGGAACATGGGACTTGGGGACATGCAATATGGGGTGTTGGGACATGGGGGCATCGGGACACAGGGACACGTGGTGTGGGGACATGGGGATAAGGGGCACGGGAATACAGGAACATGGGGACATGGGGCTTGGACACACAGGAAACAAGGCCATGGGGTGTGGGGACATGAGGACACAAGCACAGGGACAGAGGGTGTGGGGGGACATGGGGATGCTGGAGTATGGAGATGTAGATGTGTGGGGCCACGGTGCCACAGGGCCATGGCAGTGTGTGACCCGGTGTCCCCCCAGACAAGTACTCGATCGGGTTCCTGCCACGTGAGAACGGGGTGCACTCCATTGACCTGCGCTTCAATGGGCGCCATGTACCCGGGAGCCCCTTCAACATCCGCGTCGGGGAGCAGGGCCAGGCCGGGGACCCCGGCCTCGTCACCGCCTATGGGCCCGGCCTCGAGGGCGGCGTCACAGGTGACCCCCGTGGGCAGCGATGGCACTGGGGAGGTGGCCATGGTCATGGTTAATGCCATGGAGGGTGGTGATGGGGACATGGCCATGGCCATAGGGATGTGGCTGGAGGGTTATAGCTATGGGGTGGTGGCCACGGTCATGGTCATGGTCATGGTCATGGTCATGGTCATGGTCATGGTCATGGTCATGGTCAATGCCGTGGCCATGGTCATAGGAATGTGGCTCTGAGGTGGTGGCAATGAGATGTGGCTGTATGGGTGTAGCTATGGGGTGGTGGCCATGGCCATGGTCATGGTTAATGCTGTGGCCGTGGAGGGTGGCGATGGAGATGTGGCCATGCGCATGAGGACATGGCCATGGTCATAGAGACATGGCTCTGAGGTGGTGGCAATGAGATGTGGCTGTAGGAGTGTAGCTATAGGGTGGTGGCAGCAGGGACATGGCCATGGTACGGTGATACAGCCCGGGGTGGTGGCAATGGGGATGTGGCCATGGGAAGGTGGCAGTGAGGACACAACCTGGCATCGAGCCATGGCTTGGTGTGATGACAATGAGGCCATGGCTGGTGACAATGGGGCCACATCTTGGGGTGGTGGCACTGGGGCCACGGCCATTTTGTGGTGTCAATGGGACCATGTCTTAGGGTGATGGCACTGTAGGACATGGCCATGTCTGGTGGCAATGGTGGTGGCACCGGGACCATGTCTTGGGCTGGTGTCAGTGGGGCCACATCTCAAGGCTGGTGTCCCCGGTGCCGTGTCCCCATGGCGGTGCCACCCATGGCGCTGTCCCCGCAGGGGTGTGCTCCGAGTTCCTGGTGCAAACGGCCAACGCGGGCCCTGGGGCTCTGTCCGTCACCATCGACGGCCCCTCCAAGGTGAAGCTGGACTGCGTGGAGTGCGCCGAGGGGCACCGCGTCACCTACACCCCCATGGCCCCCGGCAACTACCTCATCTCCATCAAGTACGGCGGCCCCCACCACATCGTGGGCAGCCCCTTCAAGGCCAAGGTCACCGGTAGGGATACGGGGGGGGACACACATGGAGGGTGCCTGGGGTGGAGGGGGGAGACCCAAGGGTGGTGTGGTGGAGGACCCCAAGGTGATGTGAAAGGGAGTACCAAGGATGACATAATGGGGGGGGTCCCCACTGTGACATGCTTGGGGGCCCCAGGATGATGAGATGGGGGGGCCCCAAAGGTGTTGTGACAGGGGCTCCCCATTGTGACATGGTGGGGGATCCCCAGCGTGGTGGGATTGAGGGTCCCTTCCAAAGGTGATGGGATGGAGGACCCCAGGGGTGACATGATGGGGGTCCCCAAGGTGATGTTATGGGGGGTCCCAAGGGTGTTGTGGCAGAGGGACCCCAGGTTGACACAATGGGGGGGGGGCTCCAAGGTGACATAATGGGGAGTCCCTGGGATGACACAGTGGGGTTCCCCAAGGTGACATGATGGGGTTCCCCAAGGTCCCCATTGTGACATGATTGAGGGGTCCTCGGGGTGACATAATCGAGGTTCCCTGTGGTGACATGATGGAGAACCCCCAAGTTGACATGACAGGGGTGTCCCTATGGAGTTGGAGGGTGTCCTCATAGGGTTTGGGGATGCCCTCATGGAGTTGAGGGATGTCCCCATAGGGTTTGGGGTTGTCCTCATGGAGCTGGGGGTTGTCCCTATGGAATTTGGGGTGACCCCATGGAGTTTGGGAGTATCTCCATGGAATCTGGGGGTCTCCCCATTGGGTTTGGGGCATCCCCATGGTGCTGGGGGTTGTTCCCATGAGGTTTGAGGGTGTCCAACAGGATTTGGGGTGTCCCCATTGGGTTTAGGGTGTCACTATGGGGTTTGGTGTGTCCCCACAGTGTTAGGACTGTCCCTATGGGATTTGAGGGTGCTCCCATTGGGTTTGGGGGTGTCTGATGACGCTGCCCCCCCTCTCCCCAGGCCCGCGCCTCTCGGGGGGTCACAGCCTGCACGAGACCTCCACGGTGCTGGTGGAGACGGTGACGCGGGGGGGGGCAGCGCGGGCCCCCCCCGCCTTCGGGGCGCTCCCCAAGTTCTCGTCGGACGCGGGCAAGGTGGTGGCGCGGGGACCGGGGCTGGCGACCGCCTTCCTGGGCCAGAAGAACCACTTCACCGTGGACTGCAGCAAGGCCGGTGCGTGGGGGGGTCCGGGGAGGGGATGGGATGGGCTATGGGGGATACCGGGAGGGGATATGATGGGGCTGGGGGGGGCAAAGGGGTCCTTGGGGGTTCTGGAAGGGGATGTGATGGGTCGTGGGGGGGTCTTAGGAGGGGATATGATGAGTTCAAGAGGGCTCTGGGGGGTCCTGGGTCTGGATGTGATGAGTCCTTGGGGGGGTCTTAGGAGGAGTGTGATTGGTCCTTGGGGGAGCTAGAAGGGGTCGGGATGGGTTCTGAGGCATGCCAGGGGGTCCTGGGAGGGGATGGGATGGGTTTGGGGGTCCCAGGGGGTGCTGGAAGAGGATAGGATGGGTTTTGGTGGGACCCATGAGGTGTTTCTGAGGGGTCCAGTGGTGATCCTGGGATGGGATGGGATGGGTTAGGAGGGTCCCAGGGCGTGCTGGGATGGGGTGGGATGGGATGGGTTGGGAGGGACCCAAGGGTATACTGGAGGGTTCTGGAAGGGGACGTGATGGGTCAGGAAGGATCCCAAAGGGGTCCTGGGGTGTTCCGGGGGCGCTGGGGGGAAGAGGTGATGGGTCATGGGGGTCCCAAGGAGGACCTGGGGGATCCTGGGATGGGATACGATGGGTTTTGGGGGCCCTGTAGCAGGGGCTGTGATGGTTCAGGGTGTCCCAGAAGCAGATGCTGTGGTCGGGGTCTCCCTGCTCCAGTGTGGGGTGTGTGGGGGTGTGTGTGTCCCAGCCCCTCCAGGTGATCCTGAGGGCCCGGCTCTGCCCCCCCCAGGTACCAACATGCTGATGGTGGGGGTGCATGGCCCCAAGACCCCCTGCGAGGAGGTGTACGTCAAGCACGTGGGCAACCGGGTCTACAATGTGACCTACACGGTGAAGGAGAAGGGGGACTACGTCCTGATCCTGCGCTGGGGAGAGGACAATGTCCCTGGCAGCCCCTACCGCGTCACTGTGCCCTGACCCCTGGCACCTAGCGCTGTGTGGGGCACCAATAAAGCACTGGGAGAGTCGGGGGCTGTGGTCACTGGGGGATATGGGGTGGGATATTGGGGTACCAGGGGCATTAAGGGAGTGTGGGGCAGGATATTAGGGTCCTGAGAGTGCTGGGGGTATCCAGGACAGAATAGGTGTCATAGAGTAGGGTACTGGGGTGGGATATTGGGGTCCTAGAAGGGAGTAGGGGGATGTGGGACAAGATACTGTGGTCCTCGGGGGAGATACTGGGGTGACAGAGGGTTTGGGGCATGACAGTTGGGTCCTGGTTGGGGATCCTGCCTTAAGATATCACAGTCCAGAGGGATGCTGTGCAGTCTGGGACAGGATATGGGGGGGCTTCAGGGCAGGATGCTGGGGTTCTGGGATGCTGGAGTGAGGTACTGGAGTCGTGAGGGGGCATACTGGGGTGATGGGGTGTTTGGGGCAGGAGGGGAGGGGTCCTCCCGTTGGCTATCACAGTCCAGGGGGATCCTGAGAGTTCTGGGGCAGGATACTGTGGTACTGAATGGATATGGGGGGCATCATGGTAGGATGCTGGGGTCCAGGAGGGGCAGAGGGGGTGTCTGGGACAGGATAGTGGGGTCCTGGGGGGGGGGGGGCCATGGTAGAGCCCTGGGGTTCAGAGGAGGTCCTCGGGAGGGGGAGTCCGGGGCAGGATGCTGGGGTGCTGGGGCACCAGGGCAGGGTGCTGGGGTGCGGCTGAGCCCCCGCCAGGACCCACTGGTGACTCCGGATGACACCGGGACCCGCGGGGGCGGGGCCATGGGTGTGGGAGGGGCGGTACCCGCGGGAGAGCGACCGACAGGGGGGCGTGGTCATCGCGGTGGAGGCGTGGCTCCGGGGGGGGGCAGGGGGCGTGGCCTGCCCCGGTTCCCGGCGGCGCCGGTGGCGGCCGGGTCCTAGTGCCGGTCGCCGCCGTGTCTTGGCGCGGGGGGCTGATGGCGGTGAGGACACGGTGAGCGGGTTCCTGCTGGGCGGCATCGGCGAGCGGGACAAGCACCGCAAGCCCAACTTCTGGGGTCCCACAGACACACACACACACACCGGGGAGGGGTGAGGGGGTCCGGGTGCTGATGGGAGCCCCCGGCCCGCCCGCAGGAGCTTCCTGAGCCGGGAGGACACCGGCATCATCCTGATCAGCCGGTGCGTGGCCGAGCCCATCCGGGCACGCCGTGGGGGCCTCACTGCCGGGCGCTGCCCGCCGTGCTCGAGATCCCCTCTGAGACAAGGAGGCGCAAAAGTACACAGTGTAATCAGTTCTAAGTAACGTTAATTTTGATGGCTTTGGAATGGGAAATAACTGCGGTGCTTGAAGGGAGTTGACATAGTTTTAGGTCCTTAGCATCTTAGGACAAAAAGTGTATGAAAAGCAGAATAGAAAAACTGGACCTGGGGATGGGGAGTATCTGGGACTAGCAGATGTCCAGGATGGGAGCAGTTTAACTAACTGATAAGTAGAAGGACGGGATGATTGCTATGTCTGTAATGTTAATTAAGCTGGTTATGAAGATTGTTGGGAAAAGTAAATGACCCTCAAAGACCACCACCACATTTTTGTAAGCAAAAACTCTGGGAAATGATGTAATTCATGTGTAGCCTCATCAATATGTATGTATGCCCACTGACCATATAAGGATGGCCTGCATGGCAATACGGGGTCACACGTTAGGAGGAGCTATCCCCCGTGTCTCCCGGCGCTGCAATAAAGAATACCTGCTTGTCAACTTGAAACTTTGTGGGTGAGTTTGTGCCTGGAGATTTCTCCAAATCAACCTCCATGGAGCCCCCTTGGAACCACCCCGGGAGACCTCAGCCCTGCCTGGGAAACCCAATTTCCTCCCCATTGAGGTCTTTGATGCGAAGGGTTAACCGATGTACGGGGGGGTAGGTCAAGCTGCTTACTTATGTGTTACTGCTTGCTCGTGCTTATTGTATTTGCAATGTACAAGGGGGTAGGTCAAACCTCTTGCTCAACAATATCACTGCTTGTTCATGCTTACAGTGCTCGCCGTGTATGCTAGAACAAGATACAAGGACATAGCTATTGTTAAGAAGTAGGGACTGTGACTTGATTCCAGTCCTTTGCACGCCTAGGCTGGCTGAAATTGGCTCTGCGCTTTGGACAATGACCAAGGCTCCAGGGAGCATGCGTAATGACCAGAGGTGAAGAGTTCAGGCTCGAGGAAGACTCGTTTACTTCATCTCGAGTCCCTCGCTCACGACCACCAGGAGGCACTACGCAGGCGCAAAGGACTTCTTAGCTCATTGTAATATGGAGCAGGGATAGGATATGAATATGTATAGGTGGGTTATGCAACCTCATGGAGGATAAATGTAAAGGGGAAACGACGCTGAGGTGCGCATGCCTTTGGAGGAGCGATCCCCCATGCGCCTCAGTGCTGAATAAAGCATACCTACTTTACAACTTTAATGAGTTGTGGAGTCTGCCCACACACCAGTCCTAAACCCCCTGTGGTGTCCTAAGCCCCTCCTCTGGGACCCCAACCATCCCCCGGGGCCTCAAACACCCCCAGAGGTCCTAAATACCCTCCTGGGGACTCCAAAACACTCCCGGGGTCCTAAACCCCACCTGCGGGGTCATCAGCACCCTCCGGGGAACTCAACAAGCCCCCATGGACCTCAAAACCCCCCTTGAGACCCCCAAATCCCCTCTTTGGACCCCAAAATTCCTCCCTAGGGCTCCTAATCCTTCCCCTGGGGCCTCAGACCCCCCCTGCGGTGCTGACTTGGGGGGGGGGGGGCATTGAGGCTCCCGTGAGTCTGGGTCAGCAGCGCTGGAACAGGAAGTGCTGCCACAGGGCTGCGTGATCCTGCCTGATCCTCGGTGATGCTGTGTGATCCTGACTGGTCCTGCCTGCTCCTGCCGCACTCCGCCTGCTCCCTGCCCATCCCTGCCTCGTTCTTGCCTGCTCCCCGTCCCCTCCTGCCGGTCCGTGCCCGTTCCCTGCCTGCTCCATGCCCACTCCTGCCCCATCCCTGTCCCCAAACGGGTCTGGCCCCCCCCCAGGGACACGCGGCCCCAACACGGGCTGTCACCACTGGTGGCCTCCTGTGCTCTGTGGGGCTGCGGGGGGTGGGAGATGGGCGGTGGGGCATGGGGGGGACAGGGACATAGTGTGGGGACATTCTATGGGGGACAAGGAGACAGGGACATGGATGGGGACATGCTATGGGGCACAGGGTGAGGGAGGAACACACTATGGAGCACAGGGAAGGGACACGCCATGAGGTGGGGACAAGCTATAAGGCTTGGGACATGGGTGGGAACTCACTGGGGCACAGGGAGGGCGGGATAAGGACACTCTATGGGGCGCAGGAACATGGGGCAGGGTTACACTATGGGTCATGGGGCGGCTGGGCTGGGACATGCTATGCGGGACACCCGCACCCCAGGGAGCAGGGGGGGTACTGAGGGGGTGAAGGGCACATGCACACGTGAGGGGTCACACACACACGTGTGTGCAGAGGTGCAGCCGGGTGCACGTGTGAACAAACAGCTTGCACGTCCCCATTGCCCCCAGGCCATGTCCCACCAGCCCATGTACCCCCCCGTCCCTATGACCATGTCCCAATGGCTCCTGTTCCCATGGCCATGTCCCCCTTGTCCCCTTGTCCATATTCCCTAATGCCCCCTGGCAATGTCCCCCCTGTACCCATGGCCAGGTACCCCTTGTCCCTGTAATTGCCCCCATGGCCATGTCCCCATTGTCCCCAGTGTCCCCTTGTCCATGTCCCCAGTACCCCCCAGCCATTTCCCTCTGCCCCATGTCCCCATTGTCCCCCTGGCCATGTCCCAGTGCCCCAGTCCTGCCGATGTCCCCATGTCCCCACATGCCTGCATCTGTCCCCCACTTCCTGCCCCCTGCAGGTGCCCTGGGGGCCAGAACCCCTTCAGCATCTCCCCCTGCTTTGATGACTCCATTGACGTCTCTGACCCCAACCACGAGGGGACCCTGGGCCAGTTACGGGGTGGGGGGGGGGCACACAGGGGTTTGGGGGAGCCACCGTGTGCGGTATCATGGACCCTGTCCCTGTCCCTCCCCAAGACAGCACCATCAGCCTCAAGCCCTCCATCCTCTTCATCATGGCCTCCACCATCCTCTTCCTCTTCCCCTTCCTGAAACAGACCTGGGAGAACCTGAGCACCCCACAGGCACCCTGAGGCCCCCCGGGATTGGATAAGACCTTGAAACAGAGATGTTGCTTGTTCAAGAAAGATGAGGGGAGCACAGTGAGGAATAAAGCGAGAGAAGATTTTGTTGTATGGGCAAGGTCTGCACCTCATAGATCTCCATATCTGCCTTACTTAGATGGACCTCGCTGCTGCCCACATTAATACTCAGTTCAGTGTCGACGTCCCAGCTCAGATTCCTGTCGTTGGATTACCCTTTACAGGAGTGTACATTCACAGAGGGCTGATTTGTGATCTTGGAAGTGTTATTAAATCCTTAACCTCGCTCCTGCGTTGCTAGCGGCTCGTGGTTCCTCACCCGCAGTCATTGCCTTGGCAGAAACTTTGGGTCAATTCTCGTTTCAATGCCACAAGAAAGCTTTACTAAAAAAAATATCCCAAACCACAAACAAAACCCCAAATACAAAAAAACAAGGGGAAAAATCCTACAGATCTTCCTTTCTTCCTTGGTCCCATTCTTCAGCTGGAATGAGTCTTTTTTCACATCTTAAGGCTGCATGTTTCCCGTTCCAGCATTCGATGGAAGGTCTTTACTTCGAATAGGTTGGGGATGGAGTTGATGTTCCTTCTATCATCTTCCTAAAGTTTTGCCTAATACTGTGTCTAAATCCTACCTGGATTGTTCTTCCTAACCCGCATGCATCCCGAGTTGCACACATCCGTTTGTTGCTGAACGTTTTCTCCCCTTCCTGGGATGACCCCCTTCTGGTAAATTACCTTCTTGTCCCTTATTCTGTGAACTGCTTTGCATTTCTGCTTGCCTGCCTGCCAGAAAACTGTTTATTTGGCTCACAATGTTCT